CCCGCATCCCTTCGAAGCTCCATGATGAGCACGGCCGTGTTCTATCTGTGGCTCCAGGCACTGTAGCCCTGGGGCTGCTGAAGTGGTCTCCTGAGGACAAAGTTTCTGCCAAGCTGTGGCTTCTGAGGGACAAAGGGCAGGAATCTGAGCTGGTGAATGTTGCTGAGGTCCCATTAAGCCAGCACTGTGATGCTGATTTACACCTGCGGACCATTTAGGCCAGTTCTACCCTGGTGATTTGATGAATGAAAGGCTGATTGCTGCATACCCACATGAGAGCCAAAGCAGTGATGTTTGCCTGAGATCTCATTACATTCTCTTCATTCGTGAAGTGTTCTTGGAGAATTCTGCTTTGTGCACGGTGCAGCAAGTACAATTTAGGACAGGGGAGAAGGGAACTTTATTAACCATGGCAATAGCGAGAGCGTTCGGACAGCATCTCCCCCTGTGCTCAGCCAAGTGATTGTGGAGATCCAGCCTATACATGGTGTCAGACAAAGAAGAGGTGAGGAGAACAGTAACTTCCCCATGCCCAGAGCAGGCATCCACCCTTGGACCCCTCAAGTGCCCCAGTTCTGAGAAGGACTCAGCAGTTACTCTGATATGGTGAGGAGGCTCCTGGTGCCGCACGCCCTGTTATCTCTGCTCAGAGGTGGGGAGCTGGAAGCAAGCGGCCTGCTGGCTCTCAGCTGAAAGGAATGTCCTTTCAGTTAAGAGAAAGGTCTCAGGCTGAGCTCTCAGATCTCAAATATTGGTAATTTTACTGCCACAAATGAACCACAGAGTTTTTGTTTTGTTATTGTCAGTGTAAATTAACAGAAAGGAAAAGGTTTGGCTCAAATGCCAGTTTTTTTCTTTGCTTTTAATGTGTGTAGCAATAAAATCATGGAATAGTTACGGTGGGAAGGGACCTTCAAGATCAGAAGATATATATATATAGATATATATATATGGATGATGTTGGCAGTAGTTTTCCTCTTACTGTTTTACTGGTTCAGATGATTTACATTTGTTCTACTCAAGCTGTGAAGTTTCTAATCTAGGACTGGCAACGCAGGCTTGCTAAGTGTCAGAAACTTCATTTTATGGTGATTTTTCTCCCCCAAACCCGCCCCATGAAGTGATGCTGTCTTTCATTCTCCACTGAGTCCTCGCAGGAAGGCTGTATGCAGTTCCACATCCAGAACCCTCCCCTCGAGCTGTAAAGCTCCGGGGACGTGTCAAACCCATGCAATATTCAGCATCAGAAGGGATGAGCTTTGCTCATCGCAGAGCAAGGCTCCCACGGCCGGATGATGCGGAGCGTCCGGTGCCTCAAGGGTTACCGGGGCACCGCTGCTAATGCCGCTTAAGCTGATCTTAGCCGAGCTTAACTTCTTTCAGCAGTTTGCAGATGGGAAGGGGGTGGGCCGGCCTGCAGTCAGCAGTTCTTCACCAAGGACACAACGCCAGCCATGAGCTGACGGCGGGCAGGGGCAGAGCAGGGAACCGGCTTCCCCGAGCCGGTAAGTGCGCGCTTGGGTTGAATGTTTAAGTCTCAAAGTGTCGGTGCGGGACCCGGGGTTCGCCCAGCCCCGGCTCAGCCGCTGTTGGGCTCCGGGGGGCCGGGTAAAGCCCCCTCAATCCCCCACAGTAAGGGATGCGGGGACCCCTCTGTGCAGAGCTGCGGGAGGGGGGGCTAGGTGCGGTTCCGGGGTCGCGATGCTGCGGGTGAAGCTGCAGCACCAGGGAGTTTGTGGCTCTTGCAGTTTCCTTTTGTTTCCGATCTTAGAGGCGGGGAGAGCCCCAGCGCGGCTCTGGATGGTGATGGCAGCGGCCCCTGTCCCGCATGGGCTGGGGAGCTCCATCCCCAGGGGTACACCCCGAGGCCTGGGGACCCCGGGTACCGGCAGCTCTGCCCGCACAGCCGGGACAGGGGCAGTTGGATGCAGCGGTGGAGGCTGGTCCCTGGAGCCAGGAGGGCTCTGCTGGCTGGGGCTTTGTTGTCCCAAGCTCCCGGCCCCACGTGTAAGGGCTTGTTTCCGATCGCAGGAGCTCTGCAGAGACCTGAAAACTCGTTTATTTGCGGTTGAGCTGCAGACCTGGGTCAGGTTCTGGAGCCCACAATGTAAGAAGGATGTGGACCTGTTGGAGAGAGTCCAGAGGCCACGGAGATGCTGTGAGGGCTGGAGCAGCTCTGCTCTGGAGCCAGGCTGAGAGAGCTGGGCTGGGGCAGCCTGGAGAAGAGAAGGCTCCTGAAGGGGAGACCTTAGAGCAGCTCCAGTGCCTAAAGGGGCTGCAGGAAACCTGGAGAGGGGCTTGGGACAAGGGCCTGTAGGGACAGGCCAAGGGGAATGGCTTGAACCTGCCCGAGGGGAGACTGAGCTGAGCTCTTAGGCAGAAGCTCTTCCCTGTGAGGGTGCTGAGGCGCTGGCACAGGGTGCCCAGAGAAGCACGATTCTCCGACACCCCGCTGGTTTCTAGGCTTCCTGTATGTTGAGTTTCAACCACCCAGACTTTGAGGTGGGCTCTCAGTGATGGATGTCACTGCTGTGCGATCTCTGGTGCTGGTGGCTGACCTGTGCCCCTGCCAAAGCTACGCTGTGGTAGCAGGTCATATGTGTTAAATGTACCAAGTGATGTGGTTCCTGACCAAGCGGTGTGGGTTCACACCTTCAACCACATAACCACGTGTGTGCTTCATCCATGTGGGAAGAGCCTGCTGGTGCATGGGGTGCCAGCACCAATGGTGGTGTGTCCTGGTGTTAGGCACAGAGTGTGGAAACCTCTGTAGGCCTCAAATGCCTGCTGTGGATATGGAGTGTGGCTTCTTGCTTCCCATGCTGCATTAGTGTGTGCCAGTCCTTGGTGCATCCCATCCTTTGGCATGCTGATACCGGTTGTGCTGGGGATGTGGAAAGGATGCTTTCAGGGGGTTCAGAGATGCTCCTGGAGGTTCCTGGAGCTGTATGGCCTGGGCATTGAGTACACCCCCCAAGGCAACTGTACACCTGCATGGCCTCCTTGGGAAGACTTCTGCACCCATCAGTGTGGTTATTTGCTGTTATCAGGGAGGTGAGAGCGGTCCCTGATGCAGTGACTGTTTCTGCAGCCATCAGCCTGGTTTTCACGTGCACCACAGGAACACAAAGCCCTGTTCCTTTAACAGCACCGTGATGTTTCCTGCACAGAAAACACACGGAGATTATTCCAAGCAGCTCTGGCTGGCTGCGGGCACCGTGTTTCGGTGGCACCACACTGCTGGCAGTGGGCAAGGCTCTGTGCTGGGCTTCTGCTGCCTGCCCCCTCTGCCTGGAGCCCACCTGCAGCACAGAGAGGGAGCTGCTCTCCTTCGGTCCTTCAGCAGACCTGCCCCTTATCTTTCCTTGCCCCTTACTGCACTGCTTGATAAACCTCAATCAAAGCCTTCCTCATCAGCTGCTAATTTGTTCTGGAACAAAGCCTGGGCCTGGTTTTAGTGGTCACATCGTGTGTGCACAGAGTGTGGATAAACCTCTGCTCCCTCCATGTGCACTTACACCTTTGGGGTCCCCTCACTCCTTCCCATCTGCGTGGACAGGGTCCTTCAGAGCAGCACTGCAAGTCGCAAGGCACTTGATTGGTAATTAACCTGGTCTAATTATAGCTGGCTTATGTGAGGGATGCGACTGTATCTACTGTAGTTAGATCATGGCACTGCTGTTACTTTGTTTAAGCTCCATTTTCAATGTCATTTTCCAGGTTCAGATTCCAGTGTGACCACCATAACACTTGATGGGCTCACAGCTGGCAGAGGGGCTTTTAGCCTGCTCACTCTATGGCTCTGCTTTTACTGCGCTGTCAGGTCCCTCTGTTTTGGAGCTCTTCAAGCTTCATGTTGGCTTATAGAGAATTGCTTCTTATAATAAAGACAATGCTTAGCTGTTATATGGTACAAGCTAGCAGGTCTCAGCCTTTGTCTACATCTGCGGTAGGATACTGCATGGGCAGCATTCTGCAGACAGCAATGGGATGGATTTCCATCCTCTTCATGGCTGCAGGCAATGCCAGCTGCAGTTTGTCCTGCTCAGCCCTGCTGCAGACACTTCCTGTGTGAGTGTTGTTATTACAGGACATCACATGAAATTGAGATCTGATCAAGGAAGAGTTTCAGTCCAGTTTGAGCCCTTTGTGAACCAGCATGGGCGAATGCATGGCTGGGAAGTGGTGTACAAAACATTCCTTCTTTCCTATCCTCTGCAGCGCTAGCTCTCAGCGTGCCATTGTGCATCTCTTAAGCATTATGGAAGGTGTGTTACAAGCTTGTTTAGGTTTCTATGTCACTTGTGGTGATGCATTCCCAGGGCTTGCCTGAATATAAAGCAGTGGCCGTGCAGGATGCTCAGTGTTACTCAGAACCCGCTTCCTTCTGGTCCTGCTGCCAAAAGAAGCAATCCCAGACAGGATTGCACCATTCCATGGGCCAATGCACAAATGTTTGTGCTGGTGCTTGGGAATGGCCAAGTGGGAATGGGAATGGGACCAGGGGCTGCAGGCAGGAGGGCTCCTTGCACTGGCAGGACTCACTGTGCCATCCACCCATAGCTCGGGATGTGATGGAGCATCGCAGCCTGTGCGTGCCGCTGCCACAGAACCTCCAGGGTCCTGGGTTCCTCACTGGAGCACAGCCTCTGCAGACAGTGCTGAGCTCTGGTGAAATGCAATTGATATTTCAAGGCAAACGTCAGAACTTTGCCTGGCAACAGCCATCAGGGGCTGTGCACGGCACCTTCATCTTTGTGCTCTGCAGATGGGGCTGTCGGGGTGCAGCTGCCTCTTCCCGCTCCGTTCAGCGCTTCCCTTTGCGCTCTGCCCCAGATAACTATTTTTACATGCTTATTTAAACTGCTTGCTCGCTGCCTGTCACACAGTGCTCAGGAAGGGAACAGAGGATGGAACCATCACCCATCGGTGTCACTCAAACCACCCCTCCCCAAAACCAACCACAAGCATTGGAAGAAACAACCCCCAAACCAACAAACCCCATCCTAACAGTAGCTGAGATTTACGAATGATCCCAGGTACTCCTGGGACAGAGGGAGCTTTGCAGATGCTCTGCAAGCAGCTTCCAGAGCTGAACCCCAGCCCTGGCAACAGCATGGACAGGAAACAGCATCACTTCATGATGGCACATATGAGCTACCAATATAAGCCCCAGCGACCTGCACAGGAGTCGCTGGCACCTGTAAGCTCTGCCATAAGGCTGAAAGGCAAATTCTTTCCTGCTCTAGTCACCTCCAGGTGTTGTTCCCATGGGCTATGCTGCCTGACCTAGGAAGTGGGCAGGGAAGGATCAGGCTGTGGTTTCCCAGAGGAAACTGCAGCCCTGAGCTGGGTTTGGCAGAGCTGTGGGAGCCGTCCTGATAGAGCTGCAGGCAAAAGACCAAATAGGCAGAAAACCAAACAGTTCTGGGGCTTTGCTTTTCATTCTGGCTGGGTTTAGCTTGGAGGAACTGAGGGAGCCCGCTTAGTGTGAGCACACAGCAGCCACGACGGGATGAGAGGGATGAGACAAGTGTAATGAGGGACCCAGGGTTAAGTACCCCAAGTGGGTTTTGCCATCTGAACTTCATCCTCTGCAACCACTGCGGCCAACTGGCTGGTGTTTTCATCCCGATGAATGAAACCTTGTGACTCGTTCATCACATGCTGGTGCTGGGTAACGTTTTAAGGACATTTCGGCTGGTAGAGGAGCTTTCTCATCGCTGTAACTCACGGAATGGAGAGACTTCGGAGATACCAACGAGCGTTTCATTCTGGTAGGAAACTTCAATATACTTGTACAGGCTTTTAATGCTTCCGTATCCAGTCGAGTGGCAGATTGGGACCAGGATCCCGGTCTCAGCTTTCTTGTACATGAGTGGCTGCAGGGCACCGCTGCTGAGGGGTGTGAGAGGTATCTATAGGTTGGCTCAGATCCATGAGCCCAAGTGCAGGGAGGAGGCAGTGGGACTGGAGGATGGAGCTTCTGGGGGGTTTGGACTCAGCAGCTGAATAGGTGCACCCGATGCATGGGGATAAGGATGAGCTGGTGGCGTAGCTCTGAGTACGGGGCATTTCCAGCCAGCTGGATGGTGGGTTCTGCTCTTTGGAACATTACAAACATGTAAAGTAAGTTCTTAGCACAGCCACTGAATTATTTATTGAATGATTCCTCTTGGCAAGGGGCTGCTTTGCTGTAGGTATTTCAGATACTTTAAATGCCTCTATTTATGTGCAATTACAGTGCTTTTTCGGTAAAATCAGACTTTCAGGACATTGAGCTCCTTGTGAGAATTTTTCCCTTTTTAGTGGATGCTTGCAAAGATCTCGTGTATTGCAAGCACATTTCCTTGCAAATGCATTTCTCAGCAGCAGAGCAGGAGCAAGCAGAGGCCACTGCAGCTCCTCTGGGTTGCTTGGAGATTCCCTTTTGTCTGTGCCCTGCCTTTGGCATTGGGGTGCCGACAAGGAGGCTGGCGGGTCAGTGGGGCTGAGAATATACCAAGTGTATACTTGGGTGTCTGTGCACACAAACATATAGAATCACAGAGTGGTTTGGGTTGGAAGGGACCTTAAAGCTCATCCAGTTCCAGTTCCAACCCCTGCCCTGGGCAGGGACACCCCTGTCAATGTGAGCCCAATCTGCTGGGAACAGCTCATGTCCCACTGCTTGGCTGAGCCCAACCTCAACCCAGACAGGCTTTAGGAGGGGAACTGAGGTTTTCATCCATCTCCTCATCTTCTATGCCCATGCAAGCCTTGCAGAGGTTAACAGAGGCTGGCTTGGCACCGTCTCCGGTTTTAATTACAGCAGTGATTAGGAATTCATAGCCCATGGTCTCCCAGGAGCTGCCACCCTGGCCAAGTTGGGGAAAAGTCAATGGTACCTGAGCTGCATTTAATGACAGGAGCTCCTCCCGGGTTTGCTGTCCCATCCTGTGCTTGCGGGAAGCTTGGAAAGAGGAAGAGGGTAGGAACACAATAGTGCTCCACAAGCAATCCACCAAATCCCCAGATGCCCTTTGTGCACACATCAGAAACGCATTCATCACTGCAATAGCTTTCATTTAAGCTAGCAGATGGTTTCCAGTGATGCAGCACAATTAATACCCACCAGTTGTATGTGTTTGATGCTCCCTTACCCGCTGTAAATGGACACTCTCCTGTAGTGACACTGTCACAAGATGATTTGAATCCCTGTCTCAAAGCCACCTGAACCTTGTGCACAGACACTGCTTTTTGCTCTGCAGGGGAAGGTTAGGGACAATGCTCCAAACTTTGCTGGGTGCTTCCTTGTGCAAATCTTGTCACCAACCCCCTTTCTGGAAGGAAACTACAAATCTCAAGAGCGTGGGGTCTATGGAGCTGAATGTGTGAAAACAGCTTTAACAGTTCAAAAGGCTCAGGCTGATTCGCTTGAGTGAAACCCCTCTAAATCTGCCTCTCTGGATTGAGATGTTTCAGGTATATGAGTGAGCAGCCAGCGCCGTAGCCAAGGACACGGATGGGGTGATGTGGGTATGGAGAGGAGCTGTGGGTCTGCAGGCTCTGAGCCATCGCTGCACCCTGGCTGCGTTTCCTCACTGCAAACAGTTAATTCTCTCAGACACGCTGAAAAGCTGCTTATTTGGTTTGGGTTTAGTGCTCTCAAGTCAAATGTAAATAGCCTTTTTCTGGTGCCTGAATGTTGGGGTAGGGATTAGACCTTTTGCCCAGTTTCCAAGTGAAATGAATGACCTGCCTGGTCCCTGTCCCACACACTGTGGGCAGGGAGATAAAGGCAGCTCCAAGGGAGTTCTCCTTCCCGGGTAGGAAGGATGTGATCGCATGGCTGCACAGGACGGGTGAAGTTTTAATTGCCTTATGCATGTCCCAGCAGCGAGAGGCTGTTCCCACACTGCTTTATGTCACTGAACCTCCATTGACTGCACTGGAGTTACGGAATCACTTCCAGCAGGAAAAGATCAAAGTGGAACTGCACAATAGTGCTGTTTGTGACGAGGAAAAGACATAAATCAGCACTGTCCCTGTGGGATTGCCTCTTCACAAAGGCTGGTTCATGGTTCAGAGCCTGGTGTCGCTGCTGGCTACACAAGGGCTGGCTGCAGAAGCTCTCTTCACCCCAACCCTGCTGTGGGAAGCTGCCAGCCAAGTGGGGCAGCCCCAGGCTCCCACCCGTGGCTATTCCCTCCCAGCAAGGATCCAGCACTTCTCCCTTTCTCCAAACCGCCTCCTTCAGTCCCCATCATTGGCGCAGGCTGGGATCCGGGCAGCTCCAAGCCCTGATCCCATAGGAGACAAGCAGCTGCCATGGGTAGGAGGGTTCTGGGGTGTTTCTCCCACATCTCCACTGTGCTGCTCCTCCCAGACGCACCTTTCCCCTTTCCTGGCCACCTTCCCAAGCAGGTTGGCTGCCCTGAGCAAAGCAAGTCTGGGCTCATCAGGAATCACTTTAGGCGCAGAAATCAAGATGAACTGTTGCAGAAGGCATGATGGGTGAGCTTTGTAGTGCAGAAACGGGGTCAGTGACTGAAGTACGGGTCTCGGTTGAATTAAGAGGACTCAAAGGAGCTGGAAACTTCCTTTGATGGGGTAAGTTCACTCTGCTTCTGCTTCCCCACTTTCACTTACTAATCTAAGCTCAATGGATCCCAGCCTGGTTTGAGCTGAAGGGACCTCAGAGCTCCTCCAGCTCCAACCCCTGCCACGGGCAGGGACCCCTTCCACTGGAGCAGCTTGCTCCAAGCCCCTGTGTCCAACCTGGCCTTGAGCACTGCCAGGGATGGGGCAGCCACAGCTTCTCTGGGCACCCTGTGCCAGCGCCTCAGCACCCTCACAGGGAAGAGCTTCTGCCTAAGAGCTCAGCTCAGTCTCCCCTCGGGCAGGTTCAAGCCATTCCCCTTGGCCTGTCCCTACCCTCCCTCCTGCCCCCCCCCATGCTGTAGTGGTTGAGGTCAATTGTCTGCTGTGGGCTTTTGTTTGGGCAAACTTAGACACCTCCTCCATAGCCCTGTGCAAGGGGTACCCCTGTCTGGGGCTGGCCTGTGCTGGCCTCCAGAGCTGCCTTGGCACAAGCATGGGGAAAGGCTGCGGGGGGGTGCTCCTGACCTTCAACATAACCCAGACACTGTTCCCGGGAGGAAAAAAGCTGGTTTGTGTTAACATCACTGGTGCCATTGTGCGGGAAGCCCTGGCCCCTCATGGGAGTGAAGCCTCCCTGTTAATGACTCCGTGGCTCCGTAGGCTGGAGCGAGGCCAGAGGGTGAGAGGAAAGGGGCTCCTACACCAGAAAAGCTTCTTCTTTAAGGTCTTGACTGCTGTTAAAGTCATAAATAGAGCTGTGGGGCTTAACAGGAAACCTTAACTGTTTGGATCCCCTCCTCTGCAGCATCTGTTTGGCTTGTCCCTTGCAGGGCTGGCCGTTACTGGAGACTCCCTGGCAAGGAGTTGATACTGGGCCCTTACTGGTATTTACAGTGCTGCTTGTGTGCTCAGCACCCAAACAGGAGTCCCCTGAGGACAGTGTACCTTTGTACCCCAGGGGCAGAGGGATTGCTGCCCTGCTCCTCTCTCCAGGGGTGCGAAGAGTAAAGCAAGGTGCTTGGAAGGATGCCCCATCAGCTCTCACTTCATGGGTCCAGTCCCTTGCTCACAGCACAGCGATCCTGGCAGGTACAGAGGGAATGAGGGCAGAGTGTTGCCATCCTGTCCCATAACTTATCCCATCGCCATCTCCTCCGTGCACAGCCCTTGTTACAGCAAAGGAGAAAAGGTTTTCTCTTTGCTTTCAGGCTCAGTGCCAGGGGTCCCCATCAGCCTCACTGTGTCCAAGGGGCTGGGGCTCCAGCCCTTCCCACAGCAGCACCGTGGTGCTGCCCATTGGGGAATGCCCTGGCACCACAGAGCATCCGGAGGCACCGTGTCTGGTGTGGCTGCAGGGTGGGGGCCCTGCGGTGGCGTGTTCCCAGCCTGATACCAGCACTGCCTTATCCCCGCTCTGCAGTCCTTGCAGTTCCTTCCAGGAAACACTTCAGTGATGAAATGAAACTTCCTTGGTAAATCACCTATCGTTTACCCTGATGTACACCGTCAGGAACACAAGGTTGGGAGCGTGAAGGCGGTGTTTCGGAGCTGTCTGCCCTGTGTTCTGCACACAGAGGCACAATGGCTTCGCTCTGCTCCCCATGAGCCGAGGGCTTGCAGCTGGATGGTGCTGTGCTGCCTGACCCTGTGGCCACCAGCAGCTCCTGTATTGCTCAGGGAAGCCCTGAGGGCTCAGTCATAACTGGATCCCAGAGCTTGTCACAGCATCTTCCTGCTGCAGGTAACTGCAGCTGCATCACCCAATGCACATGTGTACTCAGTTGCCCTTTAGGAGCGAGCCGTCTGCTCCTGCTCACCCTTGTAGGGATGTTTCTTCCATTCTCCTATCTCTTCCATAGATGGGTTAAAACTTAAACAGGAGAAGTTTAGGTTGGATATAAGGAGCAAAATCTTTCCTGTGAGGGTGGTGAGGCACTGGAATGGGTTGCCCAGGGAGGTTGTGAATGCTCCATCCCTGGCAGTGTTCAAGGCCAGGTCGGACGAGGCCTTGGGTGAGATGGTTTAGTGTGAGGTGTCCCTGCCCATGGCAGGGGGTTGGAACTGGATGATCTTAAGGTCCTTTCCAACCTGAACTGTTCTATGATTCTGTGCTGTTCTCTCAATGTTAAGACTGCTGCAGAGCAGCGTTTGCATTGCCCGCCGAGGGCCAGCACTGGGCGCTGCCCTGACGCATCCCTATGGCTCTTGCAGAGTTCGCCGTGTCGCTGGCGGAGAAGATGCAGGCTCAGGAGCTGCTGCGGAGCCTGCGCCTGCCCGAGTTCGATGACCTGAGCCAGCTCTTCCGCAGCCTGCCCGCCTCGGCGCTCGTGGGCATCGGCGCCTTCGCCGCCGTCATCGCCTACTGGTTCGCCAGCCGGCCCCGCGCCGTGAAGCCGCCCTGCGACCTGCGGATGCAGTCGGAGGAGGTCGAGGTGAGGCCAGGGGCACCCCGACATCACTGAACCCCAGCCTGGTTTGGGTTGAAGGGATCTTAAGGCTCCTCCAGCTCCAACCCCTGCCACGGGCAGGGACCCCTTCCACTGGAGCAGCTTGCTCCAAGCCCCTGTGTCCAACCTGGCCTTAAGCACTGCCAGGGATGGGGCAGCCACAGCTTCTCCGTTCAATGCATGCCAGGGCCTCACCACCCTCACAGAGAACTTCTGCCTCACATCCAACCTAAATCTCCACTGTTTAAGTCTGAACCCAGACAATACTCCCTGACATCAGACATGCAGTGCGCTAGGCCAGGGATCTCTCCTGTCCTTAATTCACCTTTACCTGTAAACTGGAAAACTAGAACACAGCCCATTGATTTATTCTCTTGGATTCTCAGCAACAGTTTGGTCTTAGCTTTGCCATGACCCAAAGTTACAGGAGCTGCCACTGCATGGGAGAAACCATTGAAAAGCAGCCACTGATGGGATCAAATTGGCTGGTGCTTGTTTGCCGACTCTGCTGATGCAAACTCTGTAGTTACAACAAACAGGAGACCCGATCCCATGCTCAGAGCCTGAGGAGTTGTTAATTTTCTTGCCTGCAAAGGATTCTAAAGTTTAATGGAGCTGCTCTGGTTTAAAGAGCAGAAATAGATCTGAAAATTGGCTCCATTTAAATGAATATCTGAAAGTGCGATGGGAATTTTTAAAGCTTTTTGTGCTGTCCCCTCTAAAATGTCAGTGTAATTCCAACATCTTAAAATGATTGGAAGCATTCACACTTCCCAAGAGAGCTTTCCCCTGTGTTTAGGGCTTTAGTGGGGCTTTTTCTGGCTCACATCACAGTCCTGGTTTGGTCACTCTCACCCTGTGCACTCTAAACCATCTCTATTGAACCTCATGCACTTGGATCTGCAGCCTGGCCTCTGCTTTAGTCTGTCCTTCCTGTTGGACCAGATGTCCTTGTGAAGGTGGCTGTGGTACCAGCGCTGGGGATCTGTGGATCCCAGTGCAGTTGCTCCCCAGCACTTTGTTACCTATGGATTCATAATTCCTCCTCAGATCTCCTTGGGAAATATCTACCATCTCCTGTTCGGGTCGAGATCTCCACTGTTCTCCATGTTACTGGGGTGCCAACCCTAACCCTAACTCTCCCACCCCTTTGGGTGCTGGGGATGGAATATGGCATCTGTGGAGCATCCTGCTTTCTGGTTCAGGGTTTCCCCACCTCCTGCCCATCGGGTAGTGCTGCCTCACATCCTGTCCCATCATGTCACACAGGGCCTGGATGGAGCACGGCGGTCGGTGATCGGGGACAGCCCGCAGCTCCTGACGCACTACTACGATGATGCCAGGACCATGTACGAGGTCTTCAGGAGGGGCTTCAGCATCTCTGGTGAGAGCACAGTGATGAGGAGCAGTGGGAGCCGAGGAGGGGAGAGGTGGAGGATAACACAGAGTCCCAACTGGTGAGGGAGGCTCAAAGGCTTAGGGAAGCTTAGAGAGTGTAGAGGCTGAGAGTGCGGGAGCCCATAAAAGTGTGGCAGACACCAGTGGTGTAGATGCCCATTTGGCCTTCAAAGGCTAACGGAGCATGGGAGACCCAAAAAGGAGCAGGAGGCCACCAGAATGTGGGAAGCCACAAAACTGTAGAAGTCAGTTGTAGAGGCTGAAAGAATGGGGGAGGCACAAATAGTGTGGAGAGGCTGAAAAACTGCTGGAGTCCCCAGGGGTATGGGGGGGGCATGAAGAATATAGAAACAAGAGTGGGAAACTGAAGGAGATATGATTGCTAAGGAGAAAGGGAGACTAAAAGAGTACAGGAGGACAATAAAGTGCAGAAACCTGGACAGTATAGAGTCTAAGAGTTTGGGAAGCCCCAAAACTATAAAGGACCATTACATGTGGGATTAGGGTTCTTATTTGCAACATGCATTATTTTGCCCTTAATGCCATTGAATTTTACTGTGCAGCCTCTTGGTACCACAAGATCCCTTTGCTGCCACTGGCAGGTACCTCAATATCCTGAATTCTGCAGTGTCAGCAAAGCTCATCATACATTATTCAGTTCTGGAGTGTTTCTGAATTCATTACACGGGGCTGATGCGGGTGTACAACTGTGGAACGCAGCAGAGCTCTTCCTCCGCTGCAGACACTGATAGCTATTTCTCCTTGTTGCTGCCTTTTCATCAGTTACTCATACAGCTTATAGCCCTATATCCCACAACAGGGCAGGGCAAGGGCTCTGCCAGAAGCCCTTAGGGAAGCTGAGCATGGTATCACTCCATCATCCTTACCCCACGATCGATGTTATCATCAAAGAGCTCTTACACACTTGTGAGACCTCATTTCCCACTCTGAAAAGCCACGATGACTCTTCCCTCCTCTGCCATGACTATTTCTGTGTCTGCTGCTTATGATGTCCTGCCTTGTTGAACACAACAGTTGCACTGTCACATTACTTTTGGTACCATCAAAAGCCTCAGTGGAATTACAAATAGTCCACCCTGCAGCACAGGGGTAGATAAATAACTCAGGAGGAGTTTGGAGGGATGGATCTCATGCAGGTAAGCACTGTTAGCAAATGAATTAAGCATTTCCAATACCGCTCCTGTCACATAGTGCCGTGCATCATTTTCCCCTCCTCCAGAGCAGGCTGGGCTAAAAATAGCAGTTTTCACTTTGAAGTGTTTAAATCAAAAGGCAGCGAAAGCAGTGGGAGCTGCTGTTTGGGATGGAAGCCCTCGGCAGACGCGAATGCTCCCACTGCCATCAGAGAAGGGTCTTTTAATGAGGCTGATGGGGGCAAACTGCTGCTGTCCCCGCTGCAGCCCAGGGAGGAGGACTGAAGGGGCTGGGGGATCCCAGCAGCTGGTCTCCATTAGTTGCACTCCTGTGAGCTCTGTCCCAGGAGTGAGAGTCAACCCTGATAGCAACAGATTCACTCTTTGGGGGCTCTGCTGCATCCCTGCAGGTTGGTGCTGGGCAGCACCTTCACTGCATCATCTCTGCTTGTGTCTTCCAGAAAACGGCCCTTGCCTGGGCTTCAGGAAGCCGAATCAGCCCTACCAGTGGCTGTCCTACAAGGAGGTGAGCTGGGAATCAAGGAATGGCTTGGATGGAAGGGACTTTAAAACTCATCCAGCTCCAACCCCTGCCACAGGCAGGGACCCCTTCCACTGGAGCAGCTTGCTCCAAGCCCCTGTGTCCAACCTGGCCTTGAGCACTGCCAGGGATGGGGCAGCCACAGCTTCTCTGGGCACCCTGTGCCAGCGCCTCAGCACCCTCACAGGGAAGAGCTTCTGCCTAAGAGCTCAGCTCAGTCTCCCCTCTGGCAGGTTCAAGCCATTCCCCTGGTCCTGTCTCCTGTCCCTACATCCCTTGTCCAAAGCCTCTCTCCAGGTTTTATTTGCATGCACTGACCGCGAGGTTGCTGATGTGCTGTGTGAGGGCTGTTTCCCCAGCCAGGCACATCCCAGGTGCTATATAGGTGTGCTGGCTCTCAGGGACCTGCTCAATGCCATTAGCCTGCACTTGACAGTGCACTGACACACTCCAAACCCATGGGGTATTGCCAGCCAGAGGTCAGGTGCTAGTCAGCTACCGATGGCTCATGACAATGTAGAAAGTAGCAAACATGAGCATTGGAGAGCCTCCCTGTACAAGCTCAGACTCCACTTAGTCTGATATTGCTGATATTCATCTTTTTATGTGTTCTCTTCACATTCCAGGTGGCTGAAAGAGCAGAAGCTCTGGGTTCAGGCCTAATTCAGCAGGGCTGCAAGCCATCCACGAAGCAGTTCATAGGGGTCTTCGCTCAGAACCGCCCAGAGGTGAGGTTATAAACTCAACTGGTGCTGTATTAATAATGTTCCTGGCTTGTGAGCTTGCTTTAAACTTGAGCATTGTTCTCAAGTGGGTTAAAACTGTTCCCATAGCCCCTTTCTCACCCTCATGCTCTGATGTCCTCCTGCAGTGGATCATTTCCGAGCTGGCTTGCTACACCTACTCCATGGTGGTGGTTCCCCTCTACGACACCTTGGGTCCCGGAGCCATTCGTTACATCGTCAACACAGGTAAAGACAGAACTGATGTCCTCCCAGGAACCACTTTGTGGCTCAGAATGGTTCCTTTTCCTTTGCTTTCCACAAGCCGGGCGAGTTTACTCATTGTCTTGGAGTCACTTAGAGAGGTTCCTCAGGAGCTCTGTGTCCCCATGATGGGGCTGCACTTCCCACGTGCCCTTTCATGCCCCGTGGTGGATGGGACTGCTCTGGCTGTGGGAATTACTCCATGGCCACCCACTCCTGTGCTGCTTCCTATTGTGCCTCATAGATTTGTTAGCCCACATGGTGAGCGGTTTTAGCAGTTTGAACTGAGTCCCAGGACAAGCGTAGATGTCAGCCGCAGCTCTGGCACTGATTTAGATTGGGCAAAATGGCAGTGGTTTCCTAAGAGAAATGTTGGTCATGTTCTGGGATTTCTGAAGTGAATTTCAGCACTGATGCAATGCTACGAGCCAGCAGGCAGTCTGGCGTTCGGAAACAGATGTAAAGAGCTTGTTTGGGTGCTTCTCTTCCAGCTGACATCTCCACGGTCATTTGTGACAAACCCGAAAAGGCCAGAACGCTCCTGGACCACGTGGAGAGGAGGGAAACGCCGGGTCTGAGCTCCATCATCCTGATGGACCCCTTTGAAAAGGAGCTGATGGAGAGAGGGAGGCGTTGTGGAGTTCGCATCCAGACCATGCAGGAGGTGGAGGTAAGTGTGCGCTCCTTTCCTTTTACTCTGTTCTGTAGCTTCTGTAAAGAGCCAATAAAGCAAACAGGGACTTGTGAGCTGTGTGGCAGGTTCAGCGTCTGGAGAGCACAAAGGAGCAGCCTGTTGCTGATGATACTGATGCTCAGTGTGGCTGCCCCTTGGTGTTATTCCTTGTTGATAGCGGAGCCAACATTTCAAGCCTTTCTGCTCACAGAAGATATCACATACATGCTATTTAACCCTGGGAAGGGAGGTTGCTGTTTGAGACACTGTCCTCCTACATGTAGTTACAGCCTTACACTGATGAAACAGTCTGGATCCAGCTCATGCAATCCAAGCTCTACTTGAAAACCAAGGATGGATTGCACTTAATGCAAGCAGCTTTGGATAGAGAAGATGACTTAAGTTATTAGCCACAGATGTTTCTGCTGGAGCTCCCACTGTCCCTCAGTGGTTTGTGGGTTATTAGCAAGTGGGTTACACCATGGGAATCGAAGTGGAAATCATCTTTGCTGCTTTAATCTCTTTCAGGACTGTGGCCGCGAGAGTCGCCATGTGCCTGTGGTGAGTGTTGATGTGCTGCTTCTCCCACTCACAGCTGCAGCTGACTCCTACATTTACTTCAGTGCCCAAGAGGGAAAGGTTTGCTCAGAACTGTCAGTACCATCCACTGGGATCACAGAAGCACAGAATGGTTTGGGTTGGAAGGGACCTGCAAAGCTCATTCAGTTCCAACCCCCTGCAATGAGCAGGGACACCTTCAGCTAGATCAGCTTGCTCATAACCACATCCAGCCTGGCCTTGAGTGTCTCCAGGGATGGGGCATCCACCACCTCTTTGGGATGTGCAGTACTTGCTTCCTGCCCTCCTCAGTTAATGGAGATAGTTCATCCTTGCTGAGCATCTCAATGAGACAGTAATTGAATGCCATTGTTGAGCCAAACTCAGAGATACTCCTGGAAACAGCTTTGGGAAGTTGTCTCCTGCTGAGTATTCCCATGTCTCAGCATTTATGAGGAAGTGAGTAAATTATCTCAGGTTTTCCCACACACCTACAGGTACAGATGCTGTCTTTGAAAACACTAGCAAGACAAAGACTCCATCAAAGTCCTCTTACATTAAAGTATGCCCTTTGTGCACCTGGAACAAAACATAAGGGAGGAATAGAGTCAGCATCAGCTGAAGAATCCTGATAAAGACTATTATGATGGTCTTTTATATATGCCAAGGGGAAGGAGAGCTTTTTATGGCAGTGCTGAAACAGAATTGGTTTGATCTTAAAGTTTATACAATGACAGCAGTCTGCCATTGACCTGTGTGCTTTTGACTGATGTGATTTCCTTATTCTCCTTGTGCATTTCCAGCCTCCTCGACCAGAAGACCTCTCAATTGTCTGTTTTACTAGTGGCACCACAGGTAAAAAAAAGAGACATTTTAATCTCAAAATCTTAGACTAGATTATGAAATGAATTATTAATACCACCTTAATAGGTGCCAACTTGATGTTATACTGATATAGCAAGGATATTTCCATGCATTTTTAATGTTTAAGGGTATGTGTGTATATACATGTCTGTAGGCTGCAAATTACAAGTACTGGTATATTTATTTTTCACTTGCATTCCATGATGTACACTTTGGTAGAACCATTTTCCAGTTGTCTGGAAATCTGTGACATGTTTCATCCTCTGTATCCTAAGCACACCAGTGTCCCCAGCCCCAGCTTGCTTGTGTGTTGGCCATGGGGTACCGCTGGTACTCATGAGCCACTGGCCCCTTGTTCTCAGTGAGGAGCAGCATCATTTCCCTGCCTGTTCTTAGCAGACACAGCTTTCCCCTCTCTCCAGACCCTGATTTTCATACAGTTTGCAGGAATTTCCTGCTCTTGAGAACTTACCCGCAGAAAGAGACCCAGCTCTTCCAGGTTCACCTTTGCTCTTGATGTTGCCTAACGCTTGGTCCTAGCCCAGAGCATCCTTGATTTGGCCTCCACTGATCAAGGCAAGCAGAAGATGTTGCTTGACACCAAGCTGCCCTCCAGAAAGGGGAGCTGCTTGTGCTGCTCAGCCTGCAGAGAGCAAAGGCTGAAGATGAGGCTGGACAAGAGGGGACATCTTCATCTTCCATCTCCTGGAGAAGACCTGTACTGCAGGTCAGGTAGGCAACTGCTTTAACAACTCCAAATACAAACTCAAAATGTGTTAAAAGGCTTTAGGGATTTTACCTTTGCTCTTAGTTTTGAGGTCCGGGCGCTTCAGGGTACCCCAGGGCAGTGCTCGGTGTGAAAGGAGCCTGAACTCTGCTCTGTCTTAGCACTGGGAATCCCTAAAAGGAAAAGATTGATCCCAGTGCAGGATATGGACATCACAGCCTGTGTGCTGGGAGCACCGGCTCTGCCAGTGCAAAGTGGCAGGGCACAACCTGGAATGGCAGGAATCCAGAGGAGCTGTGCCTGCAGACACAGTGGGCACCATGTGTTTGTGTGGGTTTTAAAGGGCAGAGCAGTGATTTCTTTTCAGGTCACGTTTTTGTCAATATTTTTAGTTCTAAGTAAGACATTCTGACCAGAGAAGGGGTTTGATTTGTTTTGTTCACAAACGCAATATCCTGGGCTGGCTCCCGACTTTGTGCTTTTCGTAGGAACATGCCTGAAGTTACAGAAACGGGACAACCAGGGAGCATTTTGCTTTCTCCCATCCAAATCTGAGATTCCTTATCCTGCACATCATTTCCTAACAAAACACTCACAGAGCAATGCTTTGTGAGCCACCAGCCCAGCCTCTGCTGCTGGAGGACTTTGCACATCACTTCACACCTTTTCCAGGGGTTGTATCAGCGCTCTGATCTGTTTTCCATGTTGTGTTTTGATCTAAAAGGCTTGGCTTTTTATATAGCCCATCCCAGGCTATTTTTAATGACCAGATTTAGGCTTTTCTTCCAATGGATATGTTCTCAAGGGCTTTTTCAGTTCTCAAGGGCTCTAAATCCTTTTGTATGGTGTGAAACAAACCTCAGCTGGAGAGTTTGTAACCTGGAAATCGTAGAATGGGAAACAACTCCAGCTGTTTATAACAACCCCCAGAAGTCGATTTTAATGTCTGCTTTTCTTTGATAGGATCAGATGCCCAAATGCCTGCCCTGGGAGAGGCTGACACTGCTGAGCTCAGATGACAAGATGTCACGAGCAGCTTTCATTGTGGTACCCAGGAATCGTCAGCACTCGGAAGTGGGCCAGAGGCACAGTGATGCCCCCAAACCATCAGAGAAGCAAGCTGTCATTTCCTCAAGGATCCACCTCAAACCCAGTGGATAAAAATTGCTTCCCAGTGTTTCCTCACAGCCTGTCAGTGCACATCCCTGACTGCCGGCGGAGAGCAGCGCTTGCATCCCAAAATGCTGATGGATCACACCACTGAGTCAGTGCCGGAGCTGCTGCTCGGAAGACCCATTTAGCAACATGGAAAAGGTCCTTCTCTTGCTTATGAGAGCTGCCAAACCAGCCTGGCACCAGGACAAAGAGAAATTGCCATACCCGGGCTACTACCTGGCCCTGTTCTGTAACGGGACACTCACAAGGAGTGTCTGGATGAGGGAATTCAAGCTTGAGAGCAGCATTACAGGTTTGGCATTGATTTGTTTTAAAGGAAAAGCAGTGTCACTGCCAACCTTTTAATCCTGCAGTGGTAGTTCTGGGAAGGGGCTCGTAGCAAGAGGGATCCATTTTGTTCGTTACAACTACTAAAGAAGGTTGGAATTTGCAGCAATCCCCCTTCCCAAAGAGCTGCAGCTCCCATGGGAGCATGGTTTGTTCTGGAACACCTCTGTCTTTGATGCAGATTCAGTACCTCTGCTCAGAGCACCATGGCACGCCTGGAGCAGTGCGAGCATCGCAAGTCCTTCCTCTGTGTCCTGTTTGCAGCTGGTTCAGGATCCTGGACAGGCTGTGGTCTTAATGGTGCCAAAGCAGATCACTGGTGTTAGAGGTGGGATGATACAGGAGTCTGAGTTCAAAGCACCCGCAAAGCTGTGGCTGCCCCATCCCTGGCAGTGTTCAAGGCCAGGTTGGACACAGGGGCTTGGAGCAAGCTGCTCCAATGGAAGAGGTCCCTGCCCATGGCAGAGGGTGGAGCTGGATGAGCTTTATGGTCCTTTCCAACCCAAACCAGTCTGGGTTTCTATGAAATCTTCCAGAAGAAGGCTGCAGAGCTGTGCCAAGGTGCAGGAGCCAGATCTGCCATTGGTATAGGTGGTAGGCACAGTTTTGAACTTCCAAGCCAGAACTGAGCACATCCTCTTCACTGCGTGACCTGCTGGTGCCAACATGGAAGAACTCGTGGTATGCTGCAAGAGTCTGGTTATGGGTGGAATTGCCAGGGCTGAGCATGTGTATTTGGCTAAATACAACTTGGTTTCTGGATCAACCAGCATTGGTTCATGGAGCTTTCCTGATGTCTGGATCCATGTGTGCTGTGAAAATAAGTGCCTGTAAATGAAACCTGCCTGTATGAGCTGGTGCCACAAGCCTGAGGTACAACACGTTGGGGCAGGAGCCTAACCGAACATCAACACGACAAAGCTGTCAGCCCCAGCTTCATGTCTGAGCTTTGGATGAGGATGAACATGAGAGCAAAACATCCCCTGTGCACCCTGTTTATCTGCAAGGATTTGGGACCGAGTTACTCCCAGGCACTTGGGACACCAAGCATGGGTTTTCAGTAAAATACACTGTGTACAAAATGTCTTGATGTAGTGCAGTAAATGCCTGCAATGATGACTACTTCTGCTTGGGCCTTTATTTAACTATTGGCAAGGCTGAGTAGAGGCAGTGTCAGGGAACAGGCAGGGCACAGGGATCAGCAGCGAGCTGGGCTGTGCCACGTGGGTGCCAACAGACCCCAAACCAAGAGGATTAAGATATGTCTCCCTGTGCTGAAACCAATACACAGAACACCGCTGCCCCCTTCCTAACCTGAGGAAACCAGAGCAAAATCTCTGCTGGGTTATAGTTTTGTTGCATCCATCATTAGCTGTAACAGGATTGCAGAGCTCCTGGGGTATCCCAGTGCTGGGGCCATGAAAGGTACCTACGGGCAAAGCTCCTCTGATCAGCTTCCGCATGGCATAGCAGGAGCTACGCTGCAGTGGCGTGATTGAATTAAACCAATCTGCTTAAAAGCACGCTGGGGAGAGAGAGGCTGGCTCTATAATCTTGATTCGAGCTGACCTGCACCTTCTTTTCAGCAATAAACCCTCTGAGGGTGATGGAAAGGGACAGTGCTGTGGCAGGAGGATGTGCAGAGTCCTCTGAGCCAGCACTATAAGCAGGGAGTTTTGGATGGAACCATTGGCTCTTGTTGGTGGAGATTTCACTGTCTGCTGCCTGACAAACACAGTATTTTGGTGTATGAACAGGGCCTTCTTGTAGCCTGATTTTTACTGTGTATTGCCTGTTTCCTGCAGGGATAACAGGGTTATCCAGCACAGGGGCTAAGTAAGAGCTTGACAGCTTTTTAAATGGGGTTGCTTGGTACTGAAGATCATTCTTAGTCAAAATCTGTGTGAAACAAATCCTATTGCAGAGGCTGGGAGCAGCCAGCGAGGTCTGACGGCCGTGCTCATCGAACTGCTCCACCCCAGTGCTCTCACAAATTGCAGTTGGGTTGTTCCTGATGGAAAGTGTTGTTCAGAGTCTCCAACAGAAATACCTGTGCTTACAGCATCACTTTATGACGCTCTGAGTGCCGCACTAAATGCTGTCGGTGCAGGTCACTGCACGGAGATGACTGAGAAAGTTATGGTTTCGAATGCAGAATTTAATGGTTTAACCCTTTCTGTTGCGTTTTTTTGTCGAGCTTTTGGAAGTTTCCCTGCTGCTCATCTGCCCAATCTCTCTCTGTTTCCTGCAGGGAACCCCAAAGGTGCCATGCTGACCCATGGGAACGTGGTCGCGGACTTTTCGGGCTTTCTGAAAGTGACGGAGGTGAATACCCTGCTCTAGAAACCACTGCCCCGTGCAGGGGGCCGGGGGGTTAAGCTGTGTCCTGCATGGGCTTTGTGGAGAGGAAAGGTGCCTTTGCAGATGAGGGGTGAAATTTCTCTTCCTCGGAAGGCCAAATCCATAGAAATGGGAGCTTAGAGCACTGGAGGGCATTAAATCCCCTTTCCAGCAGTGGCTCCCTGGCTCTGTAGGGCACAAAGTGCTTCTGAGGAGCAGTGTTGGCTCCTGCAAACCAATTCATTAACTCCTTTTGAAGAATAAGGAGAGCAAACGAGCACCATGCAAGTGGTGCTTGGAAAAGCGTAGAGGGTCCGCTTGTGCTCTTTGTGTCCCACTGTGCCCATACAATGTCCTTACTTGCTTAAGCCTCTCTGCTTATAAAGTACATATCTATATATACGTAAAATATAGAAGTTTTTTACCAGAATGATTAATTTCATTGATACCAAAGTATATATTACTTTCTGTAGTACCTGTTAAAAAAGCATAGCACTGGCCAAGTACCTGTATAATGTTTTAGGCAAAGCGTAAACTTGTGTTTAGAAATGATACAGGAAGCAGAATTGCTTTAGCACAGCATGCTAAGGACCTAACAAATATACAGAACCTATTTTTTGTATTTGTATGGCAATTATTATTGGATTGCAGTTATTATTGTATGGAATTATTGTTGGATTTATTATTGGATTATTGAATAGAATTATTATTGGATTACAATTATTATTGTATGGAATTGCCATACAAATTCTTATTATAATTTGTATGGCAATTCCATAAAGCAGTGACGTACACACGGGTGGACAATCTGTCACCTTATACCCTTTGCTGGTCTTACTGTTGGTGGTGAAAATGCTGCAGTCTAGTTATCCTAATCCTTGAACTTTCACAGATTTCCAGACCTGTATTGTAAGGAATGTGATGTGAGGAGACTCTCTGAACTCATGTGCTTGAGTATTTGAAGGCTTGTGACTCCAGTAATTCCCAGTATGAAATGCCAACAGCTTGCTGCAGCCGGCCCTTGGGCTTCACAGCATGGAGCTGTCATTGGCATCAGAGGCAGCGAGATGCTCAAATGAAAGCTGGTGCATAGATAGGTCTGAGCTTCAAAGGGCAGGAACATTTATGTTGGAAGAGAACTGGTTTAGAGGGAGCTGGGGCAACTTGGCAGCTTCCAGGACTGGCCCCCAGACATGAGTTTAGCCTTTGCTGATGGCAATGAGATACTTTGGCAATGAGATACTCTGATTAATCTTGGAGGTATCAGATGGAGACAGAAGTCTGGTGTAAGTGGCTGCACATTCAGTCCCCAGAGTGGTGCTGGTGGGAATGCAAATGCCTGTAGCTGGCCCCCACGAGTAGGGCAATGCGTAACCACAGAAATGCAATGGAGCAAAACGCAACAGGTTTGGAAGCAGTAAATCACCAAAATCAAGATACGTAAAGCTGAGAAGCCCTGCAGATCTGCTGCTCACACACTCCTGTGCCAGTTTTGCTTAGCTCAGTGATTCTGATCAATAGAACAGTTTTTGAAGTGACCCTGGAGCTCTTATAAGGTTGTTCTCCGATGCTAAGAAGCTGTTTTCATTCTGCATTTAACTGGACATCTGTGCCAACTGTGAGGCACTATTCAATGTCATCACTTTGGTCTGATTTAAAACAAAATCGTTTATGATCTGGGCACTTAAAGCAGTGTTAAAGACAAAAGCAGTGCACAGCTAGTGATGCTAATGGGTTTGCATTCCTGTGCTTGCAGAAAACGAGGCCAACCTGAAACCATGTATAATCAGATCTGCAGCGCCTAATGGCTTAATTCAGGCTGACACAGGAAATCATATGAAATGGGATGCTGAAAACACCCATATTGTCAATCATGTTTGACTTCGCTAGGTAATGGGTGGGAGAATATCCTCTAGTCTGACTTGCCCAGATTTAACTCCAATAGGATATTCCCTAAGGCAGTATCTCCTGTGCCTCCCTTCAGTGCCATGTCCCAGGCCATGGGTTATCCATTCCATCACAGCAGTGGAGATAAAAAGTGGGTATAAACTGCTAATACTGTGGGCTAATAGATTTTATACCCATTTTCCTCTAACCACTGGCCCTGGGGCAAGTTACTGGGTCATCAGGCTTTCAGGTTTTCTTATCTGTAATATTATAGCAAGCCTTACCCTCGGAAAGGCAAGTAGTAAATCAGGTAGGGCATGGGTTGAGTAAGGCTCCCGGGGGCTGTGTTTATTCCAGCCTGTGAGAGAGAGTTAAAACCCTGGCAAACTGAAGGCTTTGGTAACTTTATTTCTGGCATAATTTGTCCAGCCTCATTTCCCCCCTGCGCCTGTCTGTGGGGCAGTGATAATGCCCTTGAAATTCCACTTTAATCACTTCAAATGACAAGGAACACTAACAGAAGTCATTAATTTTTGCAGCTGAAAAACAATCATTAATTTTTCCCACCTATTCTGATTCAAACCAATGATTAACCAAAGGAAAAGCAGGAAAACCAATCAATAGCTTTGACACTAGTAACACTGTGATCTCCACTGGGCTCCATGCAATGGGGAAAAGGGAAGCGTTGCGGAGCATTCCCGGGAGGCTCCTGCAGGTTTGCACCAGGATCCTGCGGGTCTGCACAGAGCTGAGGGCACGAATCCTGGTCTCGGCACCTCCTGGTAGAAAGCAATGGATAAAATGGGATTCTCTGTCAGGGTGAGCCTTCGTTTCCAGTGAGCTGTGTGGATACAATGCACCTTCCGCCACGGAGAGACCTCTCCGCTGCCCTCTGTGTACATCTCCGTGCTCTTTACTCCTCCTGCTAACCGAGCTTCATTGACGCTATGGCTTAACGCTTCACTTTGTACGCCGCTCCCTTCCTCTCTTGACAATCTTTACCTTTTTGCTCCTCTGGTGCCATTTTTCTTTTTATTGTTTTATGACTTTCTTGTTGTCTTCCTGTCAGTGTTTCTTTCCTTTCTGTCTCCCATGCCCTTCACCTGCAGAAAGTGATCTTTCCGAGACAGGACGATGTGCTCATCTCCTTCCTGCCTCTGGCTCACATGTTTGAACGAGTTATACAGGTAAGAAACCTGCCCGAACTGACGAGGCCTCGTGGGGCTCCTTGTGTTTTCTTCCAGAGTCAGTGGTCTCCTACTTGTGAGGATGTACACATTTCCTATTTGCCTTTAGCACACATGTTTGAGAGAATGGTACAGGTAAGGTCCTGGTGTCAGTGGAAATCATCCTTTTCCACACTGAAAAAACCCCTATAAAATGAATACGATACTAAATAACCAGCGATGTCCTGTAGCACTGAAAAAGCTTGTACTCCAGAAGTGCCATGTGTATAACACCAGGGCCCTGTCTCTGGTCTCAGTGAGATTGCCATGAGTCCAGAGCGATTCCAGAACAGCTTCCCAAGCTCTTCAGCTTACGCTGGTGTCTTTGAGGTTCGAAACCAGCCCTTTGTCCATGAGCAGAAACTGCCACCTGCACAGTTCTGGGGGCAGCTTTTCAGAGCACTTTGGGATGAGGTATCAGGGGAGCAAGAGGATAATTTTGTGCCATTTTCTGCATCAGCTAAAGCCCTTTTATTGCATAAATAACCAGCTCTGCAGAAAACTTGCAGACACTGAGAAAGAGGAAACCAAGATCGTGATGTGCCACTCGTGATCCTCCTGGCAGGGCAGCGTTTGGTGGGCATGAGCTGGTCCGTGTCCCCTGGAAACAATGGCAAACAGCAGTGCTGACTCAGGCCAGCCTGAGAACTGACTTCTCGCATCTCCTCCCGAAAAGCCAGGTGAAGATCTGTGCTGCAGTCAGGGTGTCAGGCACACTGGATGAGATGATCCCATCAGTTCTCCTGGCCTGAGAAGCTGCAAACTAAAACCTGGTCCAGTGCGTGAAGATTGGATCCGGATTCAGTTGCAGCTCTGTGGGTGATGGCTTTTGAGCCAGACAAGCATCCGAGTATAAACTCCACTTCTTAGTAACACCGGTGCCAGCAGTAATAAGTTCTGCCCTGTTAAAATACTTGCAAATTGGAAGTGAAAGTCCATTGAAGGTTTGGTGAATCACAGCACAGCCTTTCTTCCCTGGCAAGGCAAGCTGGTCAGTGTGCCACCCCTGTAATATAACAAGTCATCTGATGAGGGAGAAAAGCCATCTGAGATCCCCTTGTTTCACAGGATGTTGCTGTATTGAAACAGGCTCCAAAGGATGCTCAGCTTTACCCTCCCTGCTAAAAAAGCTCATTTATAGGAAGGTTTTTCCCCAAAGGGATAAAGAATCATTTTCAAAAGCATTTGGAACAGCAGCACTGCATCAGCTTCCCCAGTTTTACCCAACACCATCAGTTCCTGGAACTTACAGTGAAAACTATACACATACATTCTTTAAAGCTAACATTTCTAGCAGCTATTTATAATCCCCACTGATTATATTTTCCTTGTTTTTCAATTGCTGTGCATGTGCAGTGTGGAACACAGATTCAGCAGTGTGCTGGTCATTAACCACATCACATGTGGTTTCAGTTGATGGATACACTCTCTGTCGGCAGAGCAGTGACAGCACTCCAGTTAGTGCTAGGGATAATTAGGAGTACCACAAAAAGACTTAGGTGTGTCTTAAAGGAGTTTTAAACTGGTTTAGTTATATGGGGGAGACAAGTGCACCAAAGGGAGCTGATGTTCTCGGTCCTCTATGGGGTTACTGATGACCAGGGCTCCTCATATCCAGCTCTATTCCGATCCAGTGGAAGTGGCCTGTCTGCTTTCCAAGCGCAAAACCTTCTGGACCTGTAGTTTCCATACAAGTTGAGCACCTTTTATGAAGGAGGCTTCTATTTCTGGGATACAGGATCAGGCACGGTACTGCTAACATAGTATATTGTTGTATTTAAATAGAACTAAAGTATTAACACCTAAAACCCGGCCGCTGCTCAGTATTTTACAGCGTTTTTTAATATCCATTTCTTTATTGACAGTAGGTGCTCATGCTGTGAGCTGCTGTGGTAGGCCTGGCCTTAAAGGAGAAGTTCAGCTCCAGAATCTGACCATAACTCGGGCTTCTCCATCCCTGTATGCAGGGGATAAAGGGAATTCCCTTCCAAAACAGCTTTGGTTCCCTGTTCTTCCAGAACCAGTGGCAAATTTGGTGGATGCTGAAGTGCCAATACTGAAATGCCCAGAACTATCTGGATATTTCTGTTCAGTGCAAAATTTACTGTTACTTTTTAATGTATTTCTGAAGCCCCATTTTTTGCCATGTTGGAAAGCAGGATTTTAGGAAAGGCATTTCTGTGCTTGGGGGGGCTGCTCTGCCATGGGAATTAAAGGCAGGGATATGACACGTGTTCCTTTTCCTCCCATCAGTCTGTAGTGTACTGCCACGGAGGGCGCATCGGGTTCTTCCAAGGCGATATTCGCCTCTTATCTGATGACATGAAAGCGTTGCGCCCAACCATCTTCCCTGTCGTGCCGCGGCTGCTGAACAGAATGTATGATAAGGTGAGTGGAATTTGGCTCTTCCTGTGGCAATAAAGTTTATGTCCCTCTAGTACTTATGTGAAAGAATCCCCTCAGTCACAGAGATTTCCTGAGCAGATGATGCTGTTTCTGCCTTACTGCTAACACACTCTTACCCTGTGTAAGTGATAGGGCTGCTCCAATGTGTAAGTTGATTTATGCAGACTGCTGACATGGATTAAACCCTCTGTATCATCCCCATTCCCTGTTCTCACTGACGTTACTAGTGACATTTCCAGAGATGAGGGACGTTTTCATCCCAGAAACACTGGTCAAACCTGGATGCATGAGGATTCTTTGTGCCCTTCAACCAGTTTTGGAAGCTAAACCTCTCTTCTTGGTGGCAATGACAGTTGAAAATCAGGAGCTGCAAACAGACTATGAGGATTTAGGCAGTGTCAATGTGGGGTGGATTTTGGATCTAGAAATCTTTATACCTAAGAGATAGTCTTGAAAGGTGCTAAAGACACATCTGGTCATGTTAAATGTGTTTGATCAGCTGGGAATATTTACTCCTCTGCAGACTTACCCTCTAAAGATGAGCTTAAGCACAAACTACTGGTGTAATTTTTCCCCAGGGTCAGGACTGCTGGATCAGGGTTTCTTGTTTGTGGAGGTGTAGTACGTGCTGGTGTGTGATGAAGCTCAGGTCAATGCAGCCCCCATCACCTCCTCAGCCAGCAACGAGACCGGCTCCAGTAGTCAAGTTGCTCATTCCCAGCTGCTCAAATTGTAGGATTTCATTGAATCCTATCATGGAAATCATATAGAAGTAGCAGCTACGTAAATGCAGCCAACAACCATCCCCTCTGTTTTATCTCCCAGGGTAACCACCACGTACCATAGCGCATGGAGCAGAACAAACCACTCCTCTATATCCCCACTAACAAAGCCCCATGCAGCTTCATTTAACAGTACCACTAACATCCCTGCACCCTACCTGTCAGCAGCAGAGCTGGGTGCTGTGACAGTAAGAGCAGCTATTGATGTTCTCTCTCTGCGCTGCAGATCTTCAGCCAGGCAGACACGTCCCTCAAGCGCTGGGTTCTGGAGTTTGCTGCAAGAAGGAAAAAGGCTGAAGTTCGAAAGGGGATCATTAGAAATGACAGCTTGTGGGATAAACTGTTCTTCAACAAAATACAGGTAAGCTATTTAAGAAGTGAGGCTAAGGTCAAAGAGCTCTCATTTCTTCTAGCAGTGACTGGTGTTCATTAACGTCAACATGGTCCGCTTGCCTTGTGATGAACTGCAGGCAGTTGTACCACTAGTGAATAGCAGACTGAAAACTGAATAGGGAAAGAAAATGGAGCACAGTTTATTGTTCCACTCACTTTTGCATTAACTTTTGGCACGTTTGGTTTTATTTATATATTTCTTTTTAAACACTGTGCATAAGATGCCAAAATTTACATCAAATCTACCTCTGTCTCCTCTCAATGGGAATGAAATTCCGGAAGGGAGGAGTATCTGATCAATGAGATGTTGCTTCAAAGTGTTCTGCAAATTCTCTACAGATAAGATTGGATTCAGGGTTGGGTTTCAACTGGGAATATTCATAGAATCACAGAACCTCAGACTGGTTTGGGTTCGAAAGGATCTTAAAGCTCCTCCAGCTCCAACTCCCCCATGGGCAGGGACCCCTTCCACTGGAGCAGCTTGCTACGAGCCCCTGTGTCCAACCTGGCCTTGAGCACTGCCAGGGATGGGGCAGCCACAGCTTCTCTGGGCACCCTGTGCCAGCGCCTCAGCACCCTCACAGGGAAGAGCTTCTGCCTAAGAGCTCAGCTCAGTCTCCCCTCGGGCAGGTTCAATCCATTCCCCTTGGCCTGTCCCTACAGGCCCTTGTCCAAAGCACCTCTACAGCTAAAAACTCAAACCTGCTTTTTCCCCTATGAAAAGGAGAAAAGGGTGTAGAGAAAAAATCACGTGTAAATCATGGCTTAACAATAAGGGAAACAAACGCAAATGCCCTGCCGTGTGCTATGCATCTCCTTGTTAAAAAGGGACTAAATTGGCTTTAACCCAGGGGTTTGGGCTCTCTGCTGCTCCGGGAGGCTCTGATTGCTTCATTTTTCTAATCGGATAACTTACCTTGGAGACATGCCACTTTATTTTTAACTAAAGAAACCGACTGCACTTTTTGCCTGCAGATTACTTGTCCTCAGCGTGCACAGAGCAGAGTTCACATGGTGCTGCCGGGCGCGCAGACACGAGGCAAGCCGGGCTGCATATTGATTTGAGCTCTGGCGAGACCGGCAGGCTCAGTCCCTTCTCTTCCTTTGTGCTGGGCTTTCTTCTTTTAGACTAAGAAAAAGGAAATGAAGGGGGGAGAAGGAAGTAAAATGTGACACAGGAGTTGATGTAGCACCCTCCAGAAACGTTTGAAGGTCATCTGCCTGAAGAAAGGGACAGTGTTATTTCAGATGGCTTGGGAGCCTATTCATTAAAGCGGATGAGGTGCAAAGAGCACTGGAGGAGAAGGGGTTTGGTTTGTACCCCACAGTTCCCAGAGCAGATGTTGCTCATCCTGCCAGAGATGGAGGACTCTCATCTCCATATGTTGAATGGCTTATTCTTTAGGCGCTGTATCTACCTGCAAGGGGGAGTTACTGCTTTTAAGGTTTAGCTGGATTTATCCCTAAGGAAAGATTCAGAGCTGATTTGTATTCATAGAATCACAGAATAGTTAGGGTTGGGAAAGACCTTAAGATATTCCATGCCTCTATTCTAGAGAGCGCCTGTGCACGCGCTGTGCAAGCAGTACTCATGGGTGCCTCTGGCTTTGCCACCTGCAGTAACCTGTGACGCTTTCCTCCCTTTTCTCCTGCTATCGAACAGGCAAGCCTTGGTGGATGCGTTCGAATGATCGTCACGGGCGCTGCTCCTGCATCTCCAACCGTGCTGGGCTTCCTCCGTGCAGCCCTCGGGTGCCAGGTGGGCTCATGGTGATGCTTGGATGTGTTTGTTCACTGCGAGCTGGGAAATACACTGCTTTAAGAGAGAAGATGGGTTAGAACCTCAGAGCTGTGTTTAGGGCAGCTTCGACAGGACTGGTCCAAGAGCAGTGCTGTTCCCACAGCCCCGGGGCTGGAGCAGGAGCCCTTCCTGGTAGCCCTGGAAGGGAGCAGCAGACAAGAGCTGCTTGTGCTGCCGGCAGCTGTCAGGAAAGAGCATGGACTCATCCCAGCTGTTCTCAGCACTTAATTGAGTATGTGCAATTAAATATACTGGTGCATGTGCTCAGAACTTCGTTACGTGAGCTTTATTCTATATATAAATGGAGAAAGATAATCTTCAGAGGGCAATTTAACCCACTTAAGCTGTCCTCTGTGTTATTTCTCTTTGACAGGAAGGCCAGGGCAACTACAAGGCCTCATTGAAGAGCCTAAAATTAGGCAAAATTAATGTAAAAGGTGTATTTTCAAAACATCCCACAAGAATCCCATTTTTCTCCCTCACTAATAAATTCCTCTCAGAAAGCAATACACTCCTTGACTTAAAAGCAAAGAGTTGAACTTGTCTTCTCACTACTTCAACTCTCCAGAGACAATTCATAGTCATGTCAGTGAAATACTGGATATGGTAAGAGCAAGGGAATGTGTCCCATATAAAATGTACTCCTGTCATTGCAGCTCCAGGGGTGCACAACAGAAAGCAATGCTTAGACTTTTATTGTGTGTAAAACATCCTCTGTGCTGTTTTAAAGATACCCCTTTCTTTGCCAGGTTTACGAAGGTTATGGCCAAACAGAGTGCACAGCTGGGTGCACCTTTACAACCCCAGGTGACTGGACATCAGGTAATGATTTGCTTCCATCTTTTCCAGAGGGAAAAGAAAAGATTTCTTTAGGGAATTCAGGACTGTAACATCACAGGGTGCTATCGGCATTCGCCACGGTGTGACTGATCTGCAGCAAATACGATGCTCTTGAAACTGTCTTTAGGCCAGAATATCTGCACAGGGATCAGATGCTGGGCACGTTTGCCTGGGGATGTGTGGAACTGTCCCTCTGGGTGTTCTTTGTGACACTCTTATCTCTGCACTGCTGGTGCTGTGAGTCCTCTCTAGAGCCCTGAGGTGAATTCAGATGAATGTTTGTTAGAATGAAATGCTGGAACAGAGAAAAGATGGATACATTCGTGGACTTAGTGAGCAAAGCCAGGCTTTGAATAGAGACCCACCACTACGCCATACTTTCTGTATTTCAGGCATTCAAAGGTTCTGAATATGGACAAAATCACATGAAAATTGGCACTAAGCAGGGTTCAGATAATCCTAGAATCCCAGACTGGTTTGGGTTGGATTTTCTTCCTTATGCTTTTTCCTAAAATGGTGAGAGTCCAAAGCTTTGTGTGCTTTTGTAAGGAATTCAGCTTAAACAAGGATAGTCCCTTACAGGTAATGGAGACATAGTTTGTATCTCAGTATGTCTGAACACAGGGTTTATATCCAAAGAGGAAGTTTGGGTATTTAGTCTCAATAACACAAAACCTTAACAAGCAAATTATTGCTGCATAGAGACACATTTCCTGCTAGAACATCCAGTGTATCTACAACCATGCAAGCAAGTGCTATATACTGTTTCTAGGACTGATGACAAGTGACTTGATAACTTTGCTTTCCAGGTCATGTAGGAGCTCCTTTGCCCTGTAACTTAATCAAACTGACGGATGTGGAAGAGCTGAATTATTTTGCTTCCAAAGGAGAAGGAGAGGTAGCAAATCACATTTTTATATCAGAACCTTCCTAGTAACACTGTGTTAAGTACTTATGTAGTTATCGAAGCATTTTACCTCTGTAAGGCACATGCTTGCTGATGTGCTGTATATTGCAATTGGGGAAGGAAAACATCAGCTCAGCAGCAGAGCAGCAAAGCATAAGTTAAAGAGGGGCTGCGGCAGTACTGCCAGCCAATGCCCTGATTGATTCCTTTTCCAGCTAAGATGGAATTAATTAGTTCAGCTAAGAAAAGCTCAATTTCATCGTGATTTCCACATTGCTGTTATTTCTGTATTGCGCATAAATTGCACTTATTGAAATAACGTTGGGGGTGTTTTTAGCTGCAAATCAACTTTGAGCAAATCAGTTTTGCAAGCCCTATTTCATAGTTCATAGGTAATTTCATAACACAGTGCATTTAATTCCACGGAGCACAGTCATTAAGTGAACCTTTAACATATTTCAGTTTTAGTGAGCTGCTATTTAGCTTGATGGTAATTTACAGCACAATAATACAACAATTTCTCTGCAACTCTGTGTTTTGCAGATATGTGTGAAAGGACCAAACGTTTTCAAAGGTTATCTGAAGGATGAAGAGAAGACAACGGAGGCGCTGGACCAGGAGGGCTGGCTTCACACAGGAGACATTGGGAAATGGTTACCTGTGCGTGCCCATCAGAATCTTAGTTCTTATGTCAATTGTGTTATCCTATTTAAATTTCCAAGTACTCAACTTACATTTCCAAGCAGATCTGCCTTTACAGAGGATTAGGTTTATATTTTACAGAATAAGCTCGATATGACAGTGAAGCGCTTTCTGGCCATGTAAAGAGCTGTGTTAAAACCAGCTTACTGAGTCTCTGTGATTAAATAACCTCTCATTCCTTTCTCCTAACAGAACGGGACACTTAAAATTATTGATCGGAAAAAGCATATATTTAAACTTGCTCAGGGAGAATATATCGCACCAGAGAAGATCGAGAACATCTATATCCGCAGTGACCCTGTTGCCCAGATCTATGTCCACGGAGACAGCCTGCAGGTAAAAACAAAGCTTTCACAAGGTCTTGCTTTGCTCTGTGTAAGTAGAGGGCAGAGAGCTGAGTGTGAGGGGAATGCGTGAGTGGATCACGTCAGGTTTTCCCCCTGGTGCCTCCCTCCTGCTGTGGAGCTGGCTGCCAGCCCTGCAGTAGCATAAGCAGCTTGGAGGATGCTGTGGCTGAAGATCAAGCCTTTAAGTTTGCTTCAGTGTCACCCTTTGGGTCCCTAATGCTCTCCTTTGCCACCTTGCCTGTGGTAAGCCAAGAGAAGGCAAAGCCACTGCTGCACCACAGCCACTGCCTGCACATTTTGACCTATTTTGTCCCATTTCTTTGGATATTTATAAACCCATGTACAGCTTCTGAAACCATTGTGATTGATCCCTCCATATTCGTTGCCCACAAGCACAAGGCTTCCCTGGCATAGGAGTTTGCCTGAGGCTCACAAGCCTATGGATTGAACATGTATAAATGGTACAGTCACAGGGAACCACTTTATCTGAGGAAAAGGCACAGACACCCAAATATAACTGATGATGACGAGTTAGTAAATCATTGACATAATTACACAAGAAATGATAAACACATAGCAAATTCACCTGGCTTATGTATTCATGTCAATGTAGGGCCTTAAATATTGGTCAGCTTTTGCCTGTAACTCTCCTTCTCCTCCACCTACAGGCCTTTCTGGTGGGAATTGTGGTGCCTGATTCCGAAGTTATGCCAGGCTGGGCAAAGAAAAGAGGGTTTGATGGATCTTATGCAGAGCTCTGTAGAAATAAGGTTTGTCTTTCTGTCTGTGCGCATATAAAACATCGCCTTACTTTCCACACTGAGGAAGCAGTTAACATCATCACACCGTGCATTTCTGTAACAGAGTATTTGCTAATTATGTATTAACTGTCAGTCACTTGAACTTTAGTCAGAAACATGTTTTCCTGGCGAGCAATGACATCAATTGCAAGTAAGGTTGCCTCTGACATTTCATGAGGAATTCCTGTGCTTTAACCCAGGCACTGCAGCAAGCGATAATGGAAGACATGGTACGGCTGGGTAAGGAGAGTGGACTTCATTCCTTTGAGCAGGTAAAACAACAAATACATTACTCAGCGTGCTCAGGTGATTTGTCCATTTGTATTGAATGGGGATTTGTCAGCATTGGTTACGTTACCTCCATATCCTTGTAGCTGCACACAGTGTTTTTGGAAGCAGAGATCTATTGCTAGCGAGTTCCTTGACATTTGAATTCAATTTAGTGTGAAGTTTTAGATGCAGAAGTGAAAACCTAATCCAGGGGCATGGATAATCTGCAGCCCGACAACCAGAGGTCGAGATAAATCTGTGCAGGACTCTGATTCTTCTGCCGCTGAAAGCAGTGATGAGGAACTGGGTCACTAATTACCCTTCTTATAACTGACCCAGGAAATGCTGCTGGTTTATTTCTTTCCAGCGAGCACACTAATTCCTTTCTGGGGCTTGTGTAAATATTGTTGCAACAGAGCTACAGACACTTGAGGAGGAGAGATGAGAAATCAGCCGCGGTTTACACAGCATTAAAAACACAGTGAAAGCATAATCCATCACATTTTAAAACGTCAGGTGCTTCTTTCTGTTCAAACAATGAACATCTTCATCATGACATAGAATGAGCATGGAATTTTGCTTTTGTTTAGGTTGTGTCTGGGTGGTAATTCTGACAGGTAATTCACCATATGCAGCAGCAGCACCATTAAACATAGACTTGTTATTCTTCATTTCTCAGTTACATATACCAGTGAAATGATAGTAAAATGAAATGAAGCATGGTTTATAATGCACATAGTTGCTTGTGGCACTAAATCTGGCTTGTGCCTGCCGTAGTCCCGTGGTATGAAATGTCCTCAAGTAGTCTATTCTACCAGGAGTTTGCAATTAATAAACTACAAAGTGGGGTAAAAGCCTTGCCATCTTCACATTTCAAAATTAAAGGGCTTTAAAATTTGATCTCTGTTGCAGTATGCAATCTTAAACCCAAACCTTAAAGCCAGATACTAGGGTTCATGTCTGTGTGGAATGGGATCCCTTCTATATGGAAGAGAGACTCTTAACATCTGTGTCCTTGCCTGCAGTGCCAGTGGCCTGAGCGTGGATCTCTGACTTGGCAGTGAGAGCTCTGGGCTCTGGAACCCAGCAGCCAGTGCAGCTTTAATAGCACCAACACTGGCTTTGTGAAGGACATCACTGGGGGGGGAGGAACAGGACCACAGTGTCCAACATATCCAATAGGAGTTTAAAAATGGATCCTCACTGTATATTCCTGCAGCTCTCAGCTGAACAAAATGCAAACCAGTCTGGCTTGGGGAATCGGGAGAGCAGCAGAGGGCTGGGGAGTTCTGCCTTCCATCAGTGACCATGGCCAGTCATGCAGCCCTTTTCTGCCTCCCTCACTCCTCACTGCCAGGCTCCCTGCTTTGCTCAGGGAGACCCCCGTCGACCAGGGCAGCATGGAACAAACCCTGTTTGCCTGGGCTGAATGGTTTGACATCATTTTAATTAGCTAATAAAACACCATCCTTAAAGATGATCATCGCCACGTGCGTTCTTTGTGCCCACAAAGCTTCACGGTAACTTTGCAAGGCCAAAGAGAGCTCCCTTGTGTGGGACATGGGAAAACAAGCATAAGAGCAGGGAGCAGTATGGGGTGGTGGAGGGATTTAGTGGAACCTCAGGAAACTTGGGCAGGTGAGGGAAATCCTGGGTCCCCTGCGCACAACCAGAGGTAGCACAGTGAGGCTGGCATAAGGAGTTAGGCTTATTCAGTGCGATGCTGTCATTTCTGCTATAAATGCATCTCTCTTTTATTACAGGTCAAAGCTATTTACATTCACTCTGATATGTTCTCAGTACAAAACGGTTTGTTGACACCAACGTTGAAGGCCAAGAGACCAGAACTGCGAGATTACTTCAAAAAACAAATAGAAGAGCTATATTCAAGTGTGTCCATCTGAAATCCTGGGAAGAACCTTCTGAATAATGGACTTCATAGCAATATTAGAATAATCCTCAAAAGTACAGAGCCAGAAGGGCACAGCTGAAACGGATAAGCATCTGAATCTTACATCTGAGCCTTTCATTGTTCTAGGGTTTCACCACTAACCACATCTTTCCTTCTTTTTTTTCCATCAGGTGTAATACAGTTTATTTTCTACTCTATGTACACAATAGGGTACTACTAAGAATGATGTTAAATTGCCACAAAATATACAGAGATTTCAATCCATGACCAAGTAAATTATGGAAACTTACATTATTAATAACGCCAAACGTTTTTAATTAAAATAAGGAAAATTTCAGGTATGTCTGTTGATATCTGATTGTACATAACCTAATAACATTAGAAACTAAAATCGTGGGTAATTCAATAATGCGGTCTACCTCAAACAGTCAGTGATTGATGGTGAAAGTCTGTTTTCCCTGATCTGGAACTTCAAGCTGGATATTGGTTTATATATTAAGTGATAGTTTTTGTATTTTCCAGGACATAAATTGCATTGATTTGATTTAATCATTAATGTCCTAAAAACCAGAACACAAATAGGAACCAATCTCCTGCTCTTTGTACTTAAAAGAACTATTACTATTTACATCTAATGGATTAATATTACCTTGAAATTACAAGAATGGGTTGGGAAGCAGTAGGATGCAATTCCCTCTTCCGTTCTTTTCATCTGAACTCATTTTATACATGGCATGCTGATTTTTCATTAGGGCCTCCTTCAGTTCAGAACACTCATGGACATCTGAACTGCTCCAAGTGGTAAGGTTACAAAAGCACGACTGCCTCTGTGGCAGCTTTTTGTGGGAGCTCACATTAACCCCAGTTCTCATCCCTAATTTATTACTTTACATGCTGCTAATACTGGGTAGTCCAGTTGGACTAACTCCCTTTCAGAAACAGTGCTAAAGGAATGGAGCATGAAGTACAGGCTGTGATTATCCAGGTTGTCCAGAGAAGCTGTGGCTGCCCCATCCCTGGCAGTGCTCAAGGCCAGGTTGGACACAGGGGCTTGGAGCAAGCTGCTCCAGTGGAAGGGGTCCCTGCCCGTGGCAGGGGTTGGAGCTGGAGGAGCTTTAAGGTCCCTTCCAACACAAATCGTTCTATGATTCTGAATGGAACTTAGCAGAACAAATTGGGCTGGGAGAAGACTTCCTTCTGTTGACCAGGAATGGAAGAGATGCAGCTCCAGCAGGCCCCTGATGATGGGCAAAAGGCTGTGTTGGCTGATGTATGGTGGCACGGTAGCGGTACACCACTGGATGTGGCTGTAGAAAGGCCTGTGAAGAAAACATCTCTATGCCCAGACACCTGGGAGCCTCAGTTCCCACTGTCATCACTTCCAGTGACCTCTATGGAACAAACAGCATGTTTTCAGGATGAAACCTTAAGTTTTCACAGCCAGTGGCAGCTGTTAGAAGAGGGTGTAAGTCCCCTGGGGGACAGGCACAGACTGGAGCCCTCTCCTGATGGAAAGCATGGTACAAAGCAACAAGAGAACTGTAACGTTAAGTCGCTTGAACGCTTGGACTGTTGGTGGCTTTCTTCTGCTAAACAGGGTCCTACATGTATCTGTGTATTTGAATAGCTGCTGTTCGTTGCACCAGTGCGTACTAGCATGGAGCTGTGCCTGCTAGAGCTTCCTTGCTAGGACAGTGAAAGCACACTTGTTTTCTCTCTTAAACTGGAATCCACTTTTGAAGCCCCAAATTTTCACTCTAAATGATCTCTTACTTTCCCTCTACAATTCCGTTGCACGCTTCCAAATGAAATACATTGGATTAATGAGTTAGTGTTACCCGACGACTGATTTATTGCAGTAATTTCCTAACAAAATGATCCAAAGGAAGCGTATCAGCTAGCATAATCACTCATATAAAGAACAGAGCAATTTGATTTATCAGATGTGGAAGTATTTATTTGTCTGAATTCCTCTTTGCGCCCAATTCCTCATTGGATTCCAGCGCAGTGATTCATATCAGTTCAAAGCAAGCAAGAAATCCCGTCACAGTGATCTGACAGGATTGTACGTTCATTCGTCACCAGCACACGCAGCAAGAGCATCCCTGGGGAATCTGTGTCTGCCACGTCTGCATGGGGCAGGAATTACTGTATGAAATCTGCTCTTTGGGTCAAGTCATAAGGGCTTTTTAGCTCTGCGGAGTCTAGCTCATCTCCTTTTGTATCAGCCAAAAGACAGTCATTGCGCTTGCTTCAAAGCGATGAAGAACTAGCTTCGGTTCAATTTCCTGTGTGCTTTCATGGGACACACTTTAAAAACTAAATGATTACAATTAAAAAGTCATCTAAATAAGTACAAAAGAGCTATTTCCCACTGACCTTTTTCTACCACATTAATTTGATTTCCTTTTTTCCCAGTTTACCACACTTTTCTAGGCAACTGAACTCTGACTTGTATTAGTATAGAAGATCCCAGTGAGTTTATTGAGAGCTTAGATGGCTGACACATTTACATCTATAATGCTGAATGAATATCTCTATTCCTCTTTTGGTACCTGATGCAAAATGTCAGATGCACTAGAGCCAAAGAAATGGACACCTAAAGAATAAGAAAGCAAAAACACAGACTTGGCCACACTGGAACGATGTGAAATCGGAGAGGACTTGTGTTGTCACACCGAAAAGAGTGAATACTTTCAGCACTTGTATAAATCACCTAGAAGCTCTCTTTAATACTTCTTGTGCAATCAGATTTTCCTCTGCAGGTCACTTTTTCTTGCTGTAATCATAACGATGAGATTAAAACTTGAAAACGGGTGTAACGCATGAGCTAGGCACGAACATGCTCAAATGCCAGGAATGTTTAAGTTGCATTGAGCCCTTGTAAACTGAACTACTTCTTGTGACCACCAAGGAGAAGCCCCCAGGGCTGTCTAATAAAGGTTTTACTCCTCGAGATAACTAATTCCAAAGTTAATTCTTCATTTTACACATAACAGAAAAGAACCTGACTTAAATCTTCTGGAACAAGACAAAAATCACTTAGATTCTTTTAATCTATCGTTTATTTTCCATGTGTTACAAGCACAACCGGGTGATCTCTATGTAAATAAATTGCTACAAGATGAATGTAAACTGGGGAAGAATATACTATTTTTGCATGGTAACAGATTACTTAAAGACCTCTTGATGCCTTACAGGAAAGTGGGAAAAGCATTTTATTTAGAGGCAATTCTATCGGCGTACTTTTTGTATCTTTAGCTCACTTTGGTTTTGTCCGTGGAAAACCAAAAAATAGAGGAATTAGCTCTTTGCTTCTTCTTGGCATTAACATTCTTCAGTACTTTGCACATTCAGTGGTTTCTGCTCCACTTTTGCTTCTGTTCAACGCTGAGGCTGTGCTTTCTGGAGGAGAAATTGGGATGCTTGTAGCCTGGGGAGGGAAAAAAGGTTTAGATCCCTGGAATTGTTCCAAAATAAAATGTCTTCTGAGGCATCCAGAGCCCCTTTAAGCCCTTCATTTCAGCTTTCTGGTATGTATTTTAGACAAGTATAAACAGCAAACGAGTCCTAAGTGCTGCCTGCTCTATATTCAGCTGGAAGTGAAGGGGTTAAAATATACCCTTTCCATTTGTGTAACCCCCCCCAATCTTACCTGTAATTAAAGGGGTTTTCAGGTTTGGTATATCAGCATGTGGTGGCTTTTATAAGGAATTACAACTGTCGCACTTCTCCAAACCTCTCTGAAGGTTTTCTCATGGACTAAGGTACAATAAAAGCTCTTTTCTAAACCCCGTTGTCACTCCAGCACATTGGCCTCACCATGGGAGTGCAGGACGCGTGCCTACACCCAACGTGTTGGCTGATCAGATTAATACTCATTATAAAGCAACCAAAGGAATATTGGGACCTGAGATTGATTTTAGCAGTCTCAAACAAAAACGAGTTGTTGCAAAGTGCTCTGAAGATGCAGCAGTCTTTCTGTAATGGTTTCCTTTTTTTTTATTTCAGATCAATAATAATGTAACCAAATGTATATGCTTGTTTAATATGAATTGACAATTGGGAATGCATAGTATTTTTTCAGACTATGTGTCTAAAACAATAAAGTTTAAAAGCATTTGGTCTCTACTCCAGTGTTTGCATATGCTTGCACCTCACCCTTCAAATGAAGTCTAGCGATGCCATAGAGTTATCTCAGAAGCCATGAGATAAACTGTATAAACTTCTGCTGAAGGATGGGATCTGACAGGTAAGGGGAATATAACATCCATGATTTCTATTGCAGGGCGTAGGATCAGAAAACCCATCTGTTGGCACATCTGTTAGTGATAACCAGTGACAGGGAGGGGGCATGCACTGCACCCTGCGTGCCTGGAGCTTTCCTGCAGCCCCTTTAGGCACTGGAGCTGCTCTCAGGTCTCCCCTTCAGGAGCCTTCTCTTCTCCAGGCTGCCCCAGCCCAGCTCTCTCAGCCTGGCTCCAGAGCAGAGCTGCTCCAGCCCTCGCAGCATCCCCATGGCCTCCTCTGGACTCGCTCCAACAGCTCCAGGTCCCTCTTGTGCTGCTCCCCTAGGTCTGGATCAGGGCTGCAGGGGGAGGTCCCCTCCCTGAGCTGCTGCTCACGCTCTGCGGGTGCAGCCCCCGGAGCTTCTCGTCGACCAACACCCCAATGTCCTCTTCAGGCTCCTCCATCCAGTTTTCCCCAGCCCGTTTGCGCTTGGCCTTGATGAGCTCCCTGAGCTTCAGGGCTCAAAACAACGAAGCTCACGTTCTAATCAACACAAACCCCACACCAGCCGCGTTTAACGCCCAGGCACGAGCCCCGTTCCCTCCCTTTCCCCTCCCAAACGGCTCCGGCCGGGCCGAGCCCCCCCGAGCATCACCCGCGCCCCTCGGCCGCTCCGCCCGGCGCCGCGAGGAGGTGGCGCCGCCTGCTGCCTGCCGTGGGTACCGCGGCCCCGCGCCGCGCATGCGCGCTGGGGGCGTGGGGCGCCGGTTGCAGCTGTTAAGGAGCCGGTGCTCGCCCCTTGCGGTCATTCCGGTCCTCGCCCGGTTCTGAGCGGCTGCCGGCGGACGCGGCCCGCGATGGAGCGGCTCCGCTACGGGAAGGCACGGCGGAAGAAGCGGCACTTGTCCCCGCTGCCGGGGGCGGCCTTGCTGCCGGGCGGAGCCGTCGGCCTGGCCGATGCCTCCCAGCGGTGCCGGCGGCGCCTCTTCGACAGCGGGAGCCCCCGCGGGCCGAAGCCCGGCTGTAAGCGCTTCACCGGCGGGGAGGAGGCTGGGTGCGGGGACGGCCTCGTAGTGCGGGTGGTTTCGTGGCGCTCTGAGCGGTGGGTACGGATGGCGGGCACATTAAGCCTCCCTCCGGGGAAGGTTCATGTCAATAGCAGCGTTATGTTGCTTCGGCATTCCATAGCGTCATCCCATAGCTGCTCCTGGGAGAGGTTGGGAAGAGGTTTCTTGAGATCCGTGTCCTTTGCAGCGTGGAGAAAGCAGGAGCTGATGCGGAAAAGAGACCGTTCCCTCTGCTTATCTGTTGGTAATGAAAAGGGTTTTCATAAAGGTCACTTTCAAGGTGTTTGTGCTTTTCTTTCCTTTTAATTCAATAGGTTTCTAAAGCACCTGGACTGTATCTTGGAGCCTGGTTGTTGGTTTGGGTTTGGTTTGTCTTGCTGCTGGAAAAAAGCTTGGGTAAAAGTAAAGCAGATTCAGCATTTGTAGTGCTTGTGATGGGCATGGAAGAGGGGAACAGCTAAAGGTGCCCTATTAGAAATCATCATCCACTAAAATCACTGAACTCAATACTTCTTCTTCTCCAGACCTGAAGAGAAAGTCCCGTGTGAAAACCCTCCCCAAAATTACAGAAAACCTTGAAGTCGCCCAAGTGAGAGATTTGTGCAACCTAAGGTCTGTTGGAGCTCACTCAGACACACCATTATTAACACCAGCTGCATGCTTACATTGCCTTGCCTGTATGAGAGGCTTGTGGGAGTGTGAACTCTCTGTAAAGGGAGGGTTTTCAGACTGTTTGTTGCACCTCCTAAAGTGATGTTGTAGTTTCTGTAGCGTAGCTCCGTGTATTGAGCTTAGCTCTGTTCTTCAACTGCAGCAATCAAGTGAATGTCAAAGAAAAAACAGACCTGGATACAAGAGAAGAGGCAGCTGAAGAAAGCACTGTACCGCTGAAGGTGAGCATCCTGCCTTGCGCTTTATCTGCAAGTAACTTATGCAGAATAAGTAAAAGACATGTGACATGTTAAATTCTTTCTCTCATCAAGCAGAGATGAATTATATTCGTGTGTGATGAATGTTTCAGGGTGAACTTGGTCCTGTATCTTGGTGATATTTGCTTGTGGCTTTGGCCAGAATAAAAGTGGTTGGAGCTATTGGTAACATGGGAAAACACAAACCTAATTATCCTTAATGAGGACAGGCTGTAGCAGTTGTGTTGTGTGGCAGATACTTCATTAGAATGTGATTCCAGGGAATTGCTTGCTCCTAGTTCAGACACAGACCTTTGGCGAGTTACTGTTGTGCTCTTCCTCATGTTACTAAAACTGGAACAAAGTGAGGTGACTGAGTGGAGCTGTTACAGGAGCGTCAATACTGCAGTGGCAAGAAAATAGTTCACCAGGGGTATTTGAACTGAAATCTGCTACAGCAGAAGGCTGAAATGATACTGCTACGAAATAACTGTTTTCTTGATAACACAGGCTTTTATTTGGAGCCCACCAGTTGTTTACATTGGGTATTTAATTTTAGGAGTCCCTGACAATCAACAATGAAAGTAAAGACAGTTTGAAAAATGATGACGTGACTTCAAGTGAGTATAATGGCAATGCATTGTATTATTAAATAGATTTCTATATTTGTATAAACCTAAATGTAACATTCATTATATATATTTAATTATATGTCTATAAAAGCACTGGTGTGCTGTTCCTGCACTGATTCAAACTGTGTGATGTTAGAAGGTAAAGGTTTTGAGAACACTGGCTGGACTTCTGCTTCTTGTTGTGGCATGTGGCTTAGAATCATAGAATAGAATCACAGAATGGTTTGGGTTTGAAAGGACCTTAAAGCTCCTCCAGTTCCAACCCCCCTGCCATGGCCAGAGACATGAATTGATTGTAGGCAGCACAAGCAGGATGGGAGGCTCACAAGACTTGAGACTTGAGCCCAACCTGCTGAAAACCACATGATCCTGGTTTAGTATTGACAGAACTAATTGTGGCCATGACTTCTTTAATTTACTCAAACCTGCATTTTTAAAAGCTTATGCCTGAATAGGTTGTCCTTCTGAAAATAGATCAGCCTAAGAGTAGCCTGATCAGAAGGTAAATTCTTCAGGTATTTCGAGCGAGCTTTGCACAAGGAAGATGTCTTCTGTTAGCTTATGGCAGTGTAAACTGGGCTTCAGGATGCCCTTTGTTCATTTGCTTCTTCAGCTGTACTATGAATCAGTATAAGAAACTGACTTGACAATGTCATTAGAGGAATGAATCTTATGTAAGGAAATCTTGGTGGTTTGTACAAGATGGGACTTGTTCTTTTTTTTTTTTTATAGCAGCCTGTTGTGTCTGTCTCTAGGTACAGGAATGACTCTTCCCACAGGCGTTACAACCTGTTTCCTAGAGTGTTTAGATGTAGATTCAACTGTAGATTATAACGCAGGTGCTAGTGACAACCTGAACAGTTGCCCGTCCCCTGAAATATTCAGAGACGATGATTCAGGTGAGACTTCTGGGTCTTTGAGCTTTATTTGATGTAGAAAACGATGTGGGGGGACTTCCTATAACAGAAACACTAGTGGCCTCTCCTAGTGTGACTCGCCAGGTCAGATCTTTGTTATAAGCCAACCTTTGTTTAACATGGGATGGGATGTGTATACTTGGGTCCTCCAATCTGGTGTGCATGAAGTGTAATTTGAAGCATACCGTAAGCTTTAAGTAGTCACTGTTGACACAAGCTGCTTATTGAGGGTGACCAACAAATCTGCTTGGAGTCAAACACCTCCAAATTAATAACTCAATGAACTTCAACATAAGAATCTTGCACTTACATCTTTTATGTCCAGAAAGAAGTCATTTTCACACTGAGGACTTCAGCAAGTACAAGAACTCCACTCTCCTGGACTGCAGCAAAGCAGTGGCCATAGATAAGATGCCACAGATCACACATCTGTCAGCAATATTAGGTAACTCTTTTCTACAATGCTTCAGAATACATACCCAAACAAATCTCACTCCAGTGCAAGAAACTTGTATTAAATATGTAATGATTCTGCAAAATAGGGACCAGCTCCCTGCTAGTGGTCTGTGTTTGCTTCTAATATTTTGCTTTGCTATTCGGTGTGTGCTAAAACATTGTCTGCTTGGCTGTTTCTTTTAAAGTTTAGCTTTTGTGTTTTTCTAGAACCTGTACTGGAGGATTTTCAAGGCCAGGGCACTAGAAGGTAATCTGCAAAACAGGCTCTTTAACGCACCAAAATGTTCAGGTTTTTCTCTTTTGAATACTATTTCAAAGAAAGGCCCCTATGATTAAGCCTCTGATCCTACAAATGATTCTGTTGAGTTTTAGCTACTTGTGTCCTCACTAACTTTGAAATCGGTGCATGAAGCCAGGTAAGAGTTTGCCTTAGAAGCTTTTGTTTTGGTCTCGCAGATGTAGGGAAATCAGTGTAAGAAAACTTAGTGAAAGATTTTATGGAAGATTTTATGGTGAGATTTATTTACAGAATCCCCAGATAAGTTCCTTTTATCCCATTGCTCTTCTGCTGTCAGATTTATTCAGTCACAAGCAGCAAGATGTGTGTGCCCAGGTCTGGCCAGGATTGCCCCTGCAGTGCAAGTATGAAGGGTACCTGTTGTCAGGTCCTTGTTAACCCTCTGGTGTTCTGTGCTTGCCCAGGACAAAATTAGGTCTTGGGCAGATTTTTTCTGCTCTTTGCTCCTTTGCTTCAGAATCTTGCTTGACTCCAGCCTTCATTAACCTTGGACCAGGTTGCTGCCTGCTGTCAGGTTTTTTATTCAGAGGACATGTCTACCAGAAGGAGAGTATGGTGTATGCGATAGCTGTGACCCTGTTGCCACCCTCCTGTTGTTAGGATGCCAGGTTTCCTGTTGACAAGTCATCTGTGGTGTGGTTTTATCACAGCAAAGGGTCTTCTACACTTGGCCTTGTCACACTGTTGCTGTCAGGTCCTGATATTAAAACCTGAGTGTTTTTATAGCAACAGTATCATATCTTGTAACCCTTGTACTGCTGTTTCCAGTCTTCCATGCAAACATTTCCATTCATAACACATTTATACCAATACTAATGTTACAGATCTCTATGCAATTCAATCTGAATTTTCTTGTGAACCTAATTTTCCCCTGCATGTTCCTCAAACATGTTTTGTCCTAATGTGCTTCAGTGCTGAATACTTTAGTGAATGTGTCTGAAATACCACGTATCTTCAGAATAAGCTGTGTGACTTGAGGATAAACTTCAAATAACTGTAAAGTGTGAGGAAGTACCTCCATAACAATATTTTTACAACTAAGCTGTATCTCTTTTCAGGCTGTATTTTCCTATGATTTCCTTACACATTGGGGTTTTTTTCTGAATGTTAATATTCACTCAGATTAGTTGTTGACTTTATTTCTTCTTCCTCCTCTCCTAGAAAGAGACCACCAAATTTCCAATATAGCTCTTCAGCACTGAGTGTTTCAACTACTCTGGCAGGTAAAATGTGACCTGAAGCAGTTGCAGTAGCTGTGAGACAACAGAATATTCTACCCCAACTGAAATGATAGCAAAATACCAGAGCAGGATTCCACTGGGTCATTTGTCCCCTTGGCACAGGCTAAGCTCAGCTGTGTGTAGAAGGGAAAGTGTGAATTGAAAGTCTTCCCTGTAAGTAAGACTTGGCTCTAATTAATGTGTTAAGAACAAAAAAAGGCCCAAACTCTGCATTTTTTCCATTGGATCACTTGTGATGCTCAATGCAAATTAACATTTCTTATTTAACTTATCCAGGAGCAGAACTGTATCATGCTTCTTACTTGAACTTAATTCAGCTTCCCAAGTAGTGTGAGGAGTCCCTCATGTAACTACAGTTCTGAACTGTGACTGATGCAATTCTGGCTGTGGCCCAGGTACCACGTAATTTGTCCCTGCTTAATCTGGACTGTAATAGCAGCTGAAGTTGCCACTGGCACAGGCTGCTATGATTATGTAGCTCCTCTGCTTCCACAGTACGTGTGTCCAGCAGTAAATAGCCAGCTGAACATAAGATTGATAAGGAAGGGGAGGGGAGTAAAGTAACTCTGTTGGCAGGGAGAGGGAGATGAGGATTATATTGAAGGGAGGAAGTGTGTTTGCAGGGGTGGCTTTGGAATGTTCCCTCTTTGAAAACCATCCTGTAAGATACGTGTTGGAGTAGCTGTGGGTTTTGTCTCAAAGTTAATTCATTTGTTGGAAATTTATCACAGGGAAAAAAGTCTGTAGAATTACAGCTGCAAGAGAGAGAACTCCGGTCCTAAAAACTGGTATGCACCATCCTCCACCGTTAGGACCAGAAAGAAAGGTGAAAGATCCTTAATAAATCAGCTAGGTTGTGGCACAGATGACTTGCTCCTTCCTTGTAGAGGTGGAAACTCCACCTGGAAATGTAGCATTTCCCTGGAACCCATTTCACCCACAGAGGGTGAAGATGTAGCTTGCTTCTCCCTCTGGACAGCAGTAATAATCATGGGTACCCCTGAGCTCACTATCTATCAGACTGACTGTGTCAGTGGTACTGAATCAGTTGTGTAGAGCTTGAGGATGAATGGGACTCTCTTTATTAGTGCTTACCAGACCACAGAGATTCACTTTCTAACGCAAGATGTAATTATTTCACCCTTTAGCCTGACACTCAAACTGCTAAACCCAAAAGGCTGAAGTGTAAGAAACAAGAGAAAACTACAGTCGAAGAAGCTGCATCATTGTTCACTCAGGTTGATGTGCCAGCAAACACGTCAGCCAGATCAGCGGGGCTGACTGCAGAAGAGCTGCCAGCCAAACAGGCAGATGCTGTGGTGGTAAGTGTCCCCCCTGCACCCTGCTCATGAGCAAAAGGCACAACATGGAAGTGAGAGCTGTGAGTCGTCACAAGAATCAAATATGAGAAGCAGTAGGAGGTGCTTTATCCCCTAGTTGGGAAGGGGACCCGAGAAGTGTGTGTTCTGTCCTGCGGTAAACTCAGTTTGGAGAGCTTAAGTGAATGACAGGAATTGGGAATTGAAACCCAAAGAACTATTAGTGATTCTAAATGAAGTTGTTATAAATAGTAGTATGTACATGGGGAATGCTGGAGGACTAAAACCGCAGAGAATTTGAAACTAACACTGAATTCTTCTCTATTCTTGTTTAGCAAAGGAGTTCCAGGAGATTGCTGAACAAAGAGGAAAATAAAGCCTTAAGGAATCATGGTCGTGCTCAGCCTGCAGAGCTAGATGTGAGTGTGCACCCTGATACTCCTTTTTACTGATTAAAACCAAGCAAGTCTTCTGCCTGTCATCTCTTAATTTCCCTAGAAGAAAGCTAGAAGAGTATTTCTTCACTGGAAACAGCGGTGTGAATGAACTGTCATTTATCTTTTCAGCCTCCGTGTGCCAGACAAGAAATCTGCTCCATTGTTAGAACTTCACCATGCCAGAGGCCTCCCAGGCTTTTCCAAATCCCAGTTAGCTCAAAACCATTTTCCCTTCCCGAAGGAGTGCCTGAAGGTAAGAGCATACAGAAACAGGTCACTGGTGCTCACTGGCTATTTGAGGGTTTAAAGGTTGGGTTGTTTTCAAGTCTGAATATCTGGAAAACCACACGGCTAAAGAGTAAAAGACACTGAAAACTTCCAGTTTCTGACTTGTTCTCATACAGCAGTGCTTCCCTAACAAACTCCACTGATGTTTTCTCCTCTGAGGATCTTTAGTGTAGGAATTCATACAATCTGCCCATTTTATCAGCTAGATTAAGGCCAGGATGTGCCACAAGATAATTTTGGGAATATCTGCACCTCTTCAAGTTATTCCTAAGCACAGCTTTGAGCTTCACTGCTGGTATGGAGAATCCCTAGAAAAGATAACAGCTTATTTCATAAATTATTATCCTGTGCCTTATTTCTAGGGTGAATACGTCTGACTTGAGCTTTCAGTCCTTGGTGTGTTTCATATCTTGCTCAGCTGAATTCAGCTCTTTAGCACCCAGTATTTTCCCCCCCGAAAGTTGTTCAAATAATGGGGTGTATTTTTCTTTAGGGAGTACCAGGTTCTCTCTAAAGGTTTCTGTTCTTTTCCCCTGAGACCCTTAACAGAGGGGAAGCTCCTTTCTTCACTTCCTAGATTTTCATTAAACAGAAATGAGAACTGAACCAAACTATCTCTGCAACCAGAGGTAAAATCCCCTGATCTCTCTTGAAGTTTCTCGGTGCGCCACTGGATGGCGTATGTCTGCCTAAGTTTCAAGTAGTTCTTTTACAATGTCTGCAAGTTGTATTTGTCATTTATGCTGCTTTAGTTTAATGAAGTGATGCTGTATAGGCATAATAGCTTTCAAACATACTGAATATACACAAATTTTCGATGGAATTGCATGTCTTAGGTCCAGATACTCTCCCACTTCGTTACAGATTGAGTTACATACAGCAGCTAGAAAGCAGAGAAGTGCTTTTAAGTGTGTGCTTGTATTAATGACAATCATCTGATGCTTCTGTAGAGATCATGGATTAAGGGTGTTAAGCCGTGTGCCTAAGGGAATTGTGCTAATACAGAACATAGGTTGTACTTGGTAGGCAAGTGGATCTTGGAAATCAGCAAGTGGTGGTGCCAGAACAAGTTTGGGGTTGTTAATACTTTTCTAGAGGAGTCTGGGAATTGGGAATTAAACTGCAGAAAGGTGATGGTGGGGTTTTTATGCTGGAGATCTGATCAAGGAGTCTTTTGGATGAACCTCTTTTCCATTAATAGGGTACATATACTCAAAACCACCGTTGTCACTGGTAATTGACATACAAGATTCAGATTCCTCCAGCCAAATGAGAGCTGTCTGTTGAACATCCAGCCAGCTTGTCCAAACACCTTGCTCTTACAATCCAGAATGTGTCCCTTGCTGATAGTATTTAACTTGCCACCTTTCCCCCCCCCTCAGATGTTATTACGAGTACCAAAAACTGGATCTACTGTAAACGCAGATGAGGCTTCTGGGTTTCAGCAGGATTCAATAGAAGAAAACACTGTCTGCTGCTGTGGAAAGAGGTGAAACAGAACTACAAATCAGTAATTAATGGCCCTATTTTCTTGGCCATATACATTGTTTGAATTTAGTAGAATGCTTTGCAGTAAGCTTGTAAATACCTGACTCAGTCACTTCACATTAAATTATTTTGTACAAGCAACTACATCTTATTCTGGGCATTGTTCTGTAAGGACTCCATAAAGATAGTTCTTAAGTTCATTTAGATTTTACAAACGTGTGACTCGGGAAGAGCGGAACACACTGTATTCATGGAATTAATTCTGCCTCTTGCTCTGTTGCTGCTCTAGACATATCCACTGTCATACTGCAGTCCTTCCCATTTCATCGTGGTTCTTTTGTAGTGTCACCCACCTCAGTCACTGTTTCCTCTAGTGGCTTCAGATTTGTGCAGAGGAAATAGGTGCCTTACATGAATACAAGGGTAGAAAAACCTTTTTTGTAGCTAAACTATCTCAAGAGGAGGATATTGGCATTCTGGAGTTTCAGGTTACTGTTTCAGGCTGTGTGGCACATAGGTTGGATTTCCAGTGTTTCCAGTTCAGCTCATGGATTGTTAATCCATAAACGTTGCTCTTCACCAGTGTGCCGAATGCTTCTGGAAACACTGACAAGAACACAGTTAGGCTAAAGTAATCTTGATCCCTGCAGCATTCTCACCACAACACCCCTTACTCAGACCCTTTTGTGCACATAAAGGAAGTTTTTCAGGGTTTTCACATGATATCATGGCTTTCCAAGCCTCTCAAAGTCTGTTTCTCAGTATGATCACCCAGAGTATTCACGCCCTGGACAACAGTTCTCTATTTCCAGAAAGAGCATGCTGAGCAGATGTCTAAAATCCACAGCTTTACTTACTTTGACTATGTCTGAAAACACCTGTGATAGTTCAGACCCTGATCCTTTTCCCATTACTCTTAGCTAGAAGGAAGTGCCAATAAATGCTGCTAGATTAGCTTATGAGCAAGTGTTGTATAAACACTGTGTATGGCTTAAGGTTAAAAATGATGCCATTACGTTGTTTTTCCTTTCAGCATTAGCAGCATGAGTTCTGCCAATAACTCCTTGGGGTCCTCTGGGGTTTGCTTCTCATTATCAATAGCCTTGCTCTTACAAATACTGAGCCATGGGTAATGATGCAAGAATCTAGAGCCCCTGGGAGGCAGAGGTGAGCTCCTCCATGTAGCTTTAAGTAAAATTGCAAGTTATGTATCGGGTAAGTTGTGATTGTGATGATTGCTTGAGTAGAGGATGGTCCAGAATAAAAGGGCTGTTTTGTTGTAAGGGTATTGTAGGAGTGCCAGGAAAACCCCCTTCTTTTGCCCCAAACCATTTTGTAGTTTCTTTACAAGAACCAGACTAATATGGACAAACTAATTGGGAGAGTGACAGAGAGGAAAATGCAGCCCGTACCTGGGGAACTGGTTGTAGCCTGAATATTGCCGAGTTACGCTTTTGTTTCTCTTGATGCGAGGAGGCTGTACAGGAGGACAGAAGTATCATGAACCATAATCTGCCTTGTCCTTCCATTCAGTTATGAAAGCGCTGCTCCTTATTGCCATCTTTTGTCTGACTCTTGGAGAAAGTGTAATTACCCACCAGGCCAGCTCCCTGCCCCAGGGAAGGCCATTTAATTCATTCTGAGGCCGCAACAATATCTGCTCTTGTTCTGCTTTTCTCCAAGGGAAGGCATTTTCCCATGGTTTGGTTTTAAACTGAAGAATGACCACATCAGATTTCATTCAGAGTGGAAACAGGCTCTTCCATATTAGTGGATAAAGGTTATGGGTCACAGCCGGTTCATGGGTAGCACAGAAGAGCTTATTTTTGCCATGATGCAGGGGAGAAACATGCTCGGTGTCTGCAGGGCTGCTCAGCACAGCCTGGATGTGCTGAAGTCTGAATGGGATCACTCACAGTGAGTTAGTCCATGCAGCAACTCAGGTACTGTTCATCACTAGTGTGTTTAGTGAATTAAAAACCCTCTGTAAGAGGTTTTTCATTAACACTGTTCAGTTGGGTTTATCCTCTCAAGTGTATTTCTAGGAGATTTTTAAGTGCTTGGAGACAATGAAAGATGCTCGCTTCTCCCAGTGGAGCACTATAGGGTGGATGTGGTAGCTGGTGGAGGGGAAAGACCAGACATGGAAGTGGTTCTGTTGCAGTTCCTCACTTCTAAATACCGAAGGAAGAGATGTGGGGCCAAGGCAATGTGCACTGAATGGTCACTTCAGTTAAACCTCATGCTCTCGGTACAGGCAGGAAGATTTATCTATAGGGAGGCTATTGTGAGGAATCATTAGATAGATGTTACGCACTAAATTACGCCTTTTAAAAATCATCTGCTTAATTTAATCTTACATCATGTTGTTTTAGTTCCATTCCAGTTTCTAGGGAAAGCAGATGAGTCACTTTTGTTAGTTCTTAATTAAACTTTCTAGTAGTGTTGCATCTGAACAGTAAGACACTGAAGGAGGCTTTGCTGTGACCAGTGCTTCCATTTCATTTAAGCATTCACCAATAAAGAGTTTTGCAGAAATCCATGGATCCTTTTGATATTACAACATCTGTCACCCTTTTTTTAGCTCGTGTGTTTGCTCTGGGGTCACCTGCAGGGTTTAACGTCCCCAGTGCTGTGTTCCGGGTGCATGTTTGGTTTGCAAGGATGGTTTTCTGCATGCAAACACCTCCTGTGTGGGTTGTGGATGGGGTGCATCTGTGCTGTGCTGGTTCTGTCACCGCTTCACGCACACGGGAGGAAGGAGCGGGGCAGGAGCTGGATTGTCTGGGACACAATCAGCCACCCTCCTGCGCTGCGTCCCCGCAGGAGAGGACCGGAAAGCGGAGCCGAGCAGGACTTGGCGCCTGCCTCTTGACCTCACCTCGCCTCTCTGCTGCGTCTGCCTCCAGCTTCCCTCGGAGGGAGGAAAACAACAGCGCCGCGTTATCACCGCCCCTCGGGGAACACCCCGGCCCCGGCCCTGCCCCTGCCGTGCGCGCCCGGCTCCCACCGCGGACCGGGGCAGCTGCCGCGCGTCCCCGCACCCCCCCCTCCGGACGCGGTGGTTGCGGCCGCAGGAGCTGGAGCGGACCCCGCGGGGTTGTTCCCACCGTGGTGGTGGTGGAGGGGAGCTCGGCTGCGGCTCCGGCTCCCCCCGCGGGGCCGCCGCTCCCGGCCCGCCCCGCCGGCCCGCCCCTCCCCTCCCCTCCCCTCCCCTCCCCTCCCGGCAGCGGCGGGTGACTAATGTCTGTCATATGACTGTGACACCGAATGGAGTCGGGCGGGCGGAACTAGCCGCGGCGAGGGGACGGCGCTGCGCGGAGCCCAGCGCCTCGGCTGCCGGGGGCAGCGGCGGCGGAGCCCCAAGATGCCGCCCACCCTGTTCCAGAAGCTCTTCAACAAGAAGCACGGGCTCATTTCCCCGGCCAGGGACGCCCGGGACGATTGTGTCTTCAGGTAACCGAGCGCGGGGCCGCCCTCCTCCCTTCACCCGAACTTCGCCGCCGAGTTCCCTGCCCCGTTCCCCGCGGCTCCGCCGCTCTCCTCACCCCCCGGGCGCTCTGAGCGGGCCCGGTTCGCGGCCCCGGTTCTGGCCCCTCAGGCGGGCTCTGGGCGGGAGCTTTCCCCCTCTTGGGGCCGCCACGTCGGGGCCGCCTCTCCTCAAGCCTGGGCCGTGCTCCCCCCCTTCCTTCACGCCGCTGCCTCCCCTCAGCGCGGCCCCCGGTGCGGAGCGGGGCTCAGCCCCGGCCCGGCGCCGCCTTCCTGCGCGGTTCGCCCGGTCGCGACCAGCGGCGGTCCCCGCTCCAGGAGCGGGTGTGGGGCCCCGGCCCCCCGCGGCTCGCTCCGGGGATGCTGCGGGCCGGGGCAAGGCGCCATTCCGCCTGGATCCCCTGCGAGCAGCCTCGGGAACGTGGAGGAATGGGGGGGGGAACGTGAAGTTCTGGCCGCTGCCGGGAGAGGGGAAGGGTTTCTGGTGGAATTCGTCGTGTTTGAACCGCGGCAGAACTGGATCGGCCGAGAGGTGCCGAGCACAGCGCGGGGGGCAGGAGCAGGAGCCCTGAACCCGCGTAGGGGGGGCCTCGGAGAGGACCCAGACCTTCCCCATAGGGTGTCTGTGGGGTCCCAACCCCTGCCCCTTGGATGTCTGAGGGGTTCCGAACCCTGTCTCTGGTGTCCCAAACCCTCCTTTGTGTGCATCTTTGGGGTCCCAAACCCCATGGACAGGGTGGCCCCAGTTCGTGGAGCTGCATAGGGCTTGGTGCAGGGAGCGGCTCCCCTCTGTTTTGTGCTCAGAGGCCTGCAAATGGGCTTCCTGGGGGTTCATTTTCTTAGGAGCAGGTAGTTTTGTGTCTGTAAGATGAGTGTTGTTCCATGAGTGGGTTGTGCCTAGAGCCGTGCAGCCCCGGTCCTGGCTGGCGTGGGGAGGAGGCAGCCTGCAGAGATCACTGGGTGCAAATACAATGTGCTTCATTGGTAAAGAGTTTTGGGCTGCTTGAAATGCTTCAGACAGGGTGGCAAAGCTCTCCTCCCACCTGCCCTCTTTCAGTGTGTTACCTGCAAATGATCAATCAGTGCTTGGGTTGATGTAAGGGGAGTTCTCTGGCTCGTGTGGCTTAATTTTGTGTGGTGGGATGTTCCTTCTAACTGCAGTGGTGTAATCATGGAATACCAGGTTGGAAGAGACCTCGAGGATTATCTGGTCCAACCTTTAAGCTGAGCAGTTCAGGTGGTTCATGGTGTATCTGCAGTGATTTCAGCATCATGGTTTTCACAGGGTATATTGATGGGTCTCTTAAGTCCTTATGGAATCAGGACACGCTCCCAGGCAGTACCTAAAGTGCTTTTAGCTGTTGGCAAACACCTTGTATAGACACTGCTCACAGCTGCTCACGCACCTCTCTGCTGTGTCCTGTCAATGTGGTTCCTGTTTTAACGGTCTTTTTTAAGAGACAAAACCATTTTAAGCATGTGTCTTTCATTTTCTAAGTCAGCTGAACAACTGGGGTGAGCCCCTTGGTGGGGAAGGGGTGTGAGGGCTGCTTTGTACAATTGCCTTGCCTCTTCCCTTAGTGATGGGTTTATGAGGAGATTGTGTGGATTCAACATCTGTAGTGCACACCCTGGGGCAGAAATACAGGGATCAA